GGCCCTGATTGTTTCACGTCCTGCTGTAGATGTGTTATCAGTTGGGACCCCTCCCCCCAACAACAATATAGTATAATTGTATAGTATAATATAATACTATAGTATAATAGTATTAATAATATAATAATATATTATATTATTAATAATATAATAATACAGTATAATAATATAGTATAATAATATATAGTATATATAATATAGTATAATATAATACTAATACTAATATTGTGCTGTACTAATAATATAATATATTGTATATACATATAATAGTGATAATAATACGATTTATTGTGTTATTAGTAATATATTGTATTACATTATAATATTATTGTCAAGATTATATTGTATTACATTATAATATGTAATACAATATAATATTATAACGTAATACAATATAATACTAATAATACAATATAATATAATTGTACATTCTATGTTACATCTAATATTACTAATAATATAGTACAATATAGGAATATATACTGCTAATATTGTGCTATGCTAATATAATATATTGTGTGTGTTTGTGTGTGTGTGTGTGTGTATATATATATATAATATTGTAATACAATATAATACTATATACAAAATAATATTATATATTTTATATTACATGTAAAATTACTAATAATATTGCAATATAGTGGTATAGTCAATACAGTAATATATACTATTAATATTGTGCTATGCTAATAACATAATAAATTGTATGTATATGTAATATTGATCATAATATTGTAATACAATATAATACTAATACAATATAATGATATGATATATTTTATATTACATGTAATATTACTAATATTACAGTATAGTTGTATAATACAATATAGAAATATATAATGCTAATATTGAGCTGTACTAATAATATAATATATTGTATATACATATAATACTGATATTATAATGTAATACAATACTAATAATAATACAATATAATCATTGTATATTATATATTACATGGAATATTACTAATAATATTGCTGTATAGTGGTTATAATGCAATAAATATATACTACTAATATTGTGCTATGATAATATAATAAATTGTATGTATATGTAATATTGATCATAATATTATAATACAATCTTTTATATTACATGTAATATTACTAATAATATTACAGTATAGTGGTATTATACAATATAGAAATTGTGCTGTACTAATAATATAATATATTATATATACATATAATATTGATAATATCATAATGTAATACAATACTAATAATAATACAATATAATCATTGTATATTATATATTACATGTAATATTACTAATAATATTGCTGTATAGTGATATAATACAATACAGTAATATATACTACTAATATTATGCTATGATAATAATATAATATATTGTATGTATATATAATATTGATGATAATAATAATAATAATTATTATTATTATTTATTTATACCCCTATTATAATGTAATACGATACTAATAATACAATATAATCATTGTATATTATATATTACATGTAATATTACTAATAATATTGCTGTATAGTGGTATAATACAATAATATATACTACTAATAGTGGTATAATACAGTAATATATACTACTAATATTATGCTATGATAATAATATAATATATTGTATGTATATATAATATTGATGATAATAATAATAATTTAAAAACTTTCTTTATACCCCACCACCATCTCCCCAAGGGACTTGGAGTGGCTTACATGAAGCCAAGCCCAACAACACATCAATAAAAGCAAAAGTAATAAACAAAAACAATAAATACAATACAATTAATATCGATCACATATAAACAATAACCAATAAACAGTAACTCACAAGGATTTGATCATAATATTGTAATACAATATACCGTAATACTAATAATACAATACAATAATATAATTATCTATTTCATATTAAATTAGTATAATATTACTAATAATATTGCAGTATAGTGGTATAGTAGAATATAGTCATATATTAGCATATTGTTCTATGCTAATAATATAATATATTGTTTGTCTATATAACTTGTAAGCTGCTCTGAGTGCCCTTTGCGGTGAGAAGGGCGGCATATATATGTTGTAAATAAATAAATAGATGTGGGCGAAATGTCAGGAGAGAATGCTTCCCAGCGATTCCGGCCATGAAAGCCTTCGACAACAATATGAACCACTGCTATCTGTAACCTGCCCCTGTTATGATTCCTAATACAATACAATAACATAATTATCTATTTTATATTAAATGTAATATTACTAATAATATCGCAGTATAGTGGTATTGTAGAATATAGTCATATAGAATGCTAATATTGTTCTATGCTAAAAATGTAATATATTCTTTGTCCATATAACCTGTAAGCTACTCTGAGTGCACTTTGAGGCGAGAAGGGCGACATAGAAATGCTGTAAATAAATAAATAAATAAATAAATGTGGGCGAAATGTCAGGAGAGAATGCTTCCCAGCGATTCCGGCCATACGAACCATTGCTATTTGTAACCTGCCCCTTTTATGATTCCTTTGCAGCTTCGCCAAGGCACTCCAGAATGGCATAAAAGAAGTCGCAAAGTTGTGCAACGACAATGTTAGTTTTCCTTCTTCCTCCCCGAATCCTGACTTAAGACAACAACACAACAAGCAAGAAGGCAACCAAGGCTTCTGTGTCCTCCTCCCCTCTCTGTTCCTTCATTAAACCAAATGCTAATCTATATAAATAAAAATGTAATGTACTTTTGTGGGGTTAATATACCTAAAAAACCAATGGAGAAAAAATGATTTTGTCATTTGGGAGTTGTAGTTGCTGGATTTATAGTTCACCTACAATCAAAGAGCATTCTGAACTCCACCAATGGCGAAATTGAACCAAATGTGGCACACAGGACTCCCATGACCAACATGGGCATTTACCTTCAGTTTGGGAGTTGTAGTTCACCTACGTCCAGGTAGAGCACTGTGGACTCAAACAATGATGGATCTGGACCAAACTTGGCACAAATATGAACACAGGTGGAGTTTGAGGGAAATAGACCTTGGCATTTGGGAGTTGTAGTTGCTGGGATTTATAGTTCACCTACAATCAAAGAGCATTCTGAACTCTACCAATGATGGAATTGAACCAAACGTGGCACACAGAACTCCCGTGAACAACAGAAAACCCTAGGAGGGTTTGGTGGGCACTGACCTTGAGTTTGGGAGTTGTAGTTCATCTACACCCAGAGCGCACTGTGGACTCAAACAATGATGGACCTGGACCAAACTTGGCACGAATACTCAATCTGCCCAAATGTGAACACTGGTGGAGTTTGGGGGAAAAAATAGATGTTGACATTTGGGAGTTGTAGTTGCTGGGATGTACAGTTCACCTACAATCAAAGAGCATTCTGAACTCCACCAATGATGGAATTGAACCAAACGTGGCACACAGAACTCCCGTGAACAACAGAAAACCCTAGGAGGGTTTGGTGGGCATTGACCTTGCGTTTGGGAGTTGTAGTTCATCTACACCCAGAGCGCACTGTGGACTCAAACAATGATGGACCTGGACCAAACTTGGCACGAATATTCCATATGCCCAAATATAAACACTGGTGGAGTTTGGGGGAAATAGAACTTGAGTTTGGGATTTGTAGTTACTGGGATTTATAGTTCACCTACAATCAAAGAGCATTCTGAACCTCAGCAGGGAGAGAATTGGGCCAAACTTCCCACACAGAACCCCGTGACCAACAGAAAATACTCAAGGCCATCCAATCCAACTCCCTTCACCAGGGCAAGAAAACGTTATCAAAGCCCTCCTGACAAAGAGCCATCCAGCCATAGATATAGATCAATGATGAACCTGGAACTAACTTGACACACAGAACCTTCATGACCAACAAAAGATACTGGAGGTCTTTGGGGAAAATTCACCTTGATTTGGGGGAGTTGTAGTTCACCTACATCCAGAGAGCACTGAATCCAAACACTGATGGATCTGGACCAAACTTGGCACACAGACCTGATATGTTGAAATTTGATTATTTTTTTTTGGGGGGGGGGGACCTTCCTTTCTGGGAGTTGTAGTTCACCCACAACCAGGGAAACTCCAATCTCCACCAATGACCTTCCTTTCTGGGAGTTGTAGTTCACCCACAACCAGGGAAACTCCAACCTCCACCAATGACCTTCCTTTCTGGGAGTTGTAGTTCACCCAAAACCAGGGAAACTCCAACCTCCACCAATGACCTTCCTTTCTGGGAGTTGTAGTTCACCCACTACTAGGGAAACTTGGCACACTGAGACCCCATGACTAACTCAAACTACTGAAGGGGTTTGAGGGGATTGACTCACTATACTGGGAGTTGTAGTTTGCCCTACAGCCAGAGAGCACAGTGAACCCCAGCGATGATTCATCCAGAGCAAACTTGCCCAACATAACCAACTTTAAGTATGGATGGAGTTTCTTGGGGTTTAATCCAGCATGATGGGAGTTGTAGTTCACCCACAAACTTATGCATTTTGGAAAATTAATTTCCCCCCCCAAATAACCCGGGGAATGCTGAGTACCTAAGTTAGTGATGTACCTGGTCCAAACTTGGCACACAGAAGCCCCATGTCTAACTCAACCAACTGGGACTGATTCACCATAGTGGGAGTTGTAGTTTACCTTACAGTCAGAGAGCACACTGAACGCCACCCACGATGCAATTTGAGCAAACCTGCCCAACATAACAAACTTTAAGTGGAGTTTTTCAAGGTTACCCTGGCATGAGGTTCTTGTGGGTTTTTTTCGGGCTATAGAGCCATGTTCTAGAGGCATTTCTCCTGACGTTTCGCCTGCATCTATGGCAAGCATCCTCAGAGGTTGAGAAGGTCTGTTGGAAGTAGGAAAAAAGGGCTTATATATCTGTGGAATGGAATGTTACCCTGGCATGATGGGAGATGTAGTTCACCCACAAAATAACTTTTTCAAATAACAATCCATCGTCGATCCTATTTCCACGGCTCGTTCGGAATAGAATTCAAAAACAAACCGGGGTGAGAAGAGGGGAAAATGTAAGGGCTCTTTTTATTATGACCTGCTAAACCCTTGACCCCACACCCTGTGCCCAAAGACCCACCCCGGTGACCGACCGCGAGCCTGGGGAGGAGGCAAGGTGACCGAAAACCTACTACGAGAACCGAGACGTGCAGAAAAAGGAAGCGGGGAGAGAAGAGGAGGCGCTCCGGAGGGCTCCCAAAGGCCCACCTTCCCTCCGCCATCATTTCTTCTCCTCCTCCTTCTTGTCTTTGCTCTCCTTGGAGGCCTGGCTGGCCAGGGAGCCCATGGCGTTGCGGATGGCTTCGTTGTTGGGGTCCACGCCGGGAAGGTTCTCCAGGACGCTCTGGAGGAACTCGGGGTCCTGCATCACGTCGTAATCGTCTTCCTCCTGAGGACGGAAAGACACCAGGGTGAGGGTGGTCTAAGGCAGCAGATCCAATACATATTGTCATTTTTATTATGTGTATAGATCAGTGTTTCTCAACCTTCCTAATGCCGCGACCCCTTAATACAGTCCCTCATGTTGTGTTGACCCCCAACCATAACACTGTTTTTGTTGCTACTTCATAACTGTCATTTTACTTCTGTTATAAATCATAATGTAAATATCAGATATGCAAGATGTACTTTCATTCACTGGACCAAACTTGGCACAAATACCTAATGCAACCACATGTAAATGCTAGTGGGGTTGGGGGAGGATTGATTTTGTAATTTGGGAGTTGTAGTTGCTGGGATTTATAGTTCACCTATAATCAAAGAGCATTCTGAACCCCACCAGAAATGGATTTGAATCTAATTTGCCATACAGAACTCCCATGACCAACGGAAAACACTGAAAGGGTTTGGTGGGTATTGACCTTGAGTTTGGGAGTTGCAGTTCACCTACATCCAGAGAGCACTGTGGACTCACACAATGGTGGATCTGGAGCAAACTTGGCACAAATACTCAATATGCGCAAATGTGAACACTGGTGGAGCCTGGGGAAAATAGACCTTGACATTTGGGAGTTGTACTTGCTGGGATTTATAGTTTACCTACATCCAGACAGCACTGTGGGCTCCAACAATGATGGATCTGGACCAAACTTGGCACGAATACTCAATATGCCCAAATGTGAACACTGGTGGAGCCTGGGGAAAATAGACCTTGACTTTTGGGACTTGTAGTTGCTGGGATTTATAGTTCATTACAATCAAAGAACATTCTGAACTCCACCAACGATAGAATTGGCTCAAACTTCCCACATGGAATCCCCATGACCATCAGAAAATACTGTGTTTTCTGATGGTCTTTGGCGACCCCTCCGACACCCCTTCGCGACACCCTCAGGGGTCCCGACCCCCAGGTTGAGAAACACTGTTATAGGTAGATAGATAGATAGATAGATAGATAGATAGATAGATAGATAGATACGAGGGTTGAATGAAAAATAATGCCTCCACCTTCGTAACTCCTCAACAGATGGCAGTACTGGGATGCGGCAGGTACTGGCTTGTTCAGTAGACTCTCCTCTACAGTTCCATTTTGGTGGGAAGCCTTCGCCTTGAATGGTTGTGTTGTTAAAGTGCAAAGTATGGAACCATGCGCAGGCGGTCGGTCAGTGAGACTTAAGCAATGTGAAGTCTTTGAATTCTTGACAGCAGAAGGTGTCACCCCAAAGGAGATTCATCAAAGAATGCATGCTGTTAATGGTGATTGTGTTGAGGTGAGTACTGTGTGTCGTTGGGCGAGTAAGTTTAAAGATATTGAGGTGACACCTTCTGCTGTCCAGAATTTAATGCTTAAGTCGCATTGACCAACCATCTGCACAGGGTTCCATACCTCGCACTTTAACAACACAACCGTTCAACGCTTCCGGCCAAAATGGACCTGTAGAGGAGAGTCTACTGAACAAGCCAGTACCTGCCGCATACCAGTACTGCCATCTGTTGAGGAGTTACAAAGATGGAGGCATTACTTTTCATTCAACCCTCGTATTTTTCTGGCTTCACCGCATGTTATTGCTTATCTAAGACAACCACCATTAGGGCATTAACTTGTAATTGCAGAGTTGGAAGAGACCATCATGGCCATCCAGTCCAACTCTAGGCAGAAAAGCTCTCTGGAGAGATGGCCATCCAACCTCTGAATTATAGAATCCCAGAGTTGGAAGGGATCCCATCCAGTCTAACCCGACAGAAATACACCATCAAAGCCCTCCCAAACAGATGGTCATCCAGCCTCTGAATCATAGAGTCCCAGAGTTGGAAGAGGCCCCAAGGAACATCCAGTCCAAGCCTAGGCAGGAAGACACAATCAAAGCCCTCTTGACAGATGGCCATCCAGCTTCTGAATCATAGATTCCCAGAGTTGGAAGAGACCTCCAAGGACCATCCAGTCCAACCATCAAAGCCCTCCAGACAGATGGCCATCAAGTCCAACTCTAGACAGAAATACACCATCAAAGCCCTCCCGACAGATGACCATCCAGGCTCTGAATCATACAATCCTAGAGTTGGAAGAAACTCCTAAGGTCATCCAGTCCAACCCTGGGCAGAAATACGCCATCAAAGCCCTCCCGACAGATGGCCATCCAACCTCTGAATCATACAATCCTAGAGTTGGAAGAAACTCCAAAGGCCATCCAGTCCAACTCTAGGCAGAAATACACCATCAAAACCCACTGCGCCATCCGGGGCTTTCAAATTAATGAAAAGTTATTTATAACCAGGGCACCCTTTTGGATCACTCACCTTGGCGGGTTCTGACGTATCCATGTCTGCACTGCTGTCCACCTCAGCCGCCTCGCCTTGCCCAAATTCTAAAGCCAAAAAAAGACATGACTCTTTTGAGTTAGCACACTATGGAAAACTATGGGTGTGATTCCAAGGCCTCCTTAGTGTCTGCCCCACAAATCTATCCAGGCATTGAAAAAGATAGAACCTAGGATCGGTTTCGTCCCTGATGCTCACCGGCTCCTTGAAGAGACATCTGCATCGCATAGGCAATCTGCTCCTCTTCAGTCATGGTGCTGAGGTCCGGCAGGCCGGCGCGGCCAAACTCCTGCTGACCGATGGTCATCTTGAGCAGAGTGTCGTCTGAATCTGGAGGGGGTGACGAACAGGCAGAGACCTCACATTTATGTGATGCATAAAAATATATGATATACTAGCTGTCCCCTGCCACATGTTGCTGCGGCTCAGTCTGTGTATATGTGTTTTGTGTGTGTATATATGCGTGTATATATTTGTGCATATGTGTATATATTTTTGGCTTTTTAAGTATTATTATTATTACATTTATTATTTTAGTCTATTATTGTTAGTATTACATTTATTATTTTACTCTATTATTACTGTTATTACATTTCCACTATTATTATTATTATTATTATTATTATTATTATTATTATTACTACTTCTACAACTAGCTGTCCCCTGCCACACATTGCTGTGGCTCCGTTTGTGTATATGTGTGTTGTGTGTGTATATATGTGTGTATATATTTGTGCATATGTGTATATATTTTTGGCTTTTTAAGTATTATTATTATTACATTTGTTATTTTAGTCTATTATTGTTAGTATTACATTTATTATTTTACTCTATTATTACTGTTATTATTACATTTCCACTATTATTTATTATTATTATTATTATTATTATTATTATTATTATTATTACTACTACTACTTCTACTACTAGCTGTTCTCTGCCACGCATTGCTGTGGCTCAGTTTGTGTATATGTGTTTGTGTGTATATATTTTTGGCTTTTTAAGTATTATTATTACATTTATTATTTTACTCTATTATTGTTAGTATTACATTTATTATTTTACTCTATTATTACTGTTGTTATTACATTTCCACTATTTATTATTATTATTATTATTACTACTACTACTTCTACTACTAGCTGTTCCCTGCCACGCATTGCTGTGGCTCAGTGTGTATATATGTTTTGTGTGTGTATATGTGTTTGTATATATTTGTGTATATGTATATATGAAGTTTTGTGCATGCGTTGTAATGTAATTTTTTGGTTTTTGGCTTTTTTAAGCTTCTTCTGCTGTGTTTTTCAGTGTTTTTATGAGTGATGGTCACTCATTGGCCTGATAGGTGTATTGTGTCCAAATAACATAATTATAAATAGTATAATTATAATTAATAGAATTATATTTATATACTTATAATTATATTAATTATAATTATATCTTTTATTAATTATAATTATATTTGTATTAATTATAATTATAATTGTATTAATTATAATTATAATTGTATTAATTATAATTATATTTGTATTAATTATAATTATAATCAAAATAATAATAATCAAAATATAATTATGATTATTCCAAATAGTGTGAATAGATGCCAATTAATTTCTAAAAGGGATATGTTTCCAAAAGGCTATGGAGATTTCCCAAAAGGTTATGGTCTCTAAAAGGTCATGCCTTTCCAGAGTTTTAGACACCTCTTTCTTGGACCCCCAATATTTACAAAATGAATTAATACCATCGCCTCCGGTGGCTGGAATCCCTGCTTCGGCCGCCGACGCTGCAGCGGCTCGGCGGGCCTCCTCCTCCTGCCTCTGCCGTTGCTCCTCCATCGACACCCGCAGCGCCTTTGGAATAAATCCAGATGGATCAAGACCCCAGGACTGTCTCAACAAAACAGCCTCTTTGCTTCTGATTGCAGAACCCCGTCCTCATTCAAACTGCCCGCAGCGCTCACCAAAGCCAGTTCCGGATCGGCACTGGGGTCCACCCCGAACTCGAAGTCGCTGGCCCCCAACCCCAGCATGGCTCCCCCTTCTCCGGCCAGGATCGGGGAGCTGATGAGGGCATCGGCCAGGCTGGGCCCCGGGGGCACCGTCACCAGGTGGGAGCCGGTGCCGTCCTTGCCGTTCAGGGTGTTGATGAAGGCAGTCAGCTTGTCCGTGTTGGCTTCCTGGGATGGGAAAGGGAAGAAAGGGTCAGAGATGGGGAGGAAGCGGGTGGCGGGAAGGGGAGCGTGCCCTGAGTATATGATATCCTCACCTCTTCCCCAAAGTTGATGATGTCCACATTGACCTTCTCCTTTTTCAGCCGCTTGGCCATTTTCACCAGCTGGGTGGGAGAGAGGTATAATAATATTATTATTAATTATTATTATTATTATTATTATGCAAAGATTCTGGCACAAGCCAGTCAAGGTGATCCCAGTGGTGATTGGCACACTGGGTGCAGTGCCTAAAGACCTTGGCCTGCACTTAAACACAATCGGTGGTGACAAAATTACCATCTGCCAGCTGCAGAAGGCCACCTTACTGGGATCTGCACGCATTATTCTCCGATACATCACACAGTCCTAGACACTTGGGAAGTGTCCAACATGTGATCCAATACAACAGCCAGCAGAGTGTCTGCTGTGGACTCATCTTGTTGTGTTTCAAATAATAATAATAATAATAATAATAATAATAATAATAATAATAATAATAATTATATAATATACCCCTCTCCATCTGCTGTGTTTCAAATAATAATAATAATAATAATAATAATCCAATACAACAGCCAGGAGAGTGTCCGCTGTGGACTCATCTTATGGTGTTTCAAATAATAATAATAATAATAATAATAATAATAATAATAATCCAATACAACAGCCAGGAGAGTGTCCACTCATGTTGTTGTGTTTAAAATAATAATAATAATAATAATAATAATAATAATAATAATAATCCAATACAAAAGCTAGCAGAGTGTCTGCTGTGGACTCATGTTGTTGTGTTTCAAACAATAATAATAATAATAATAATAATAATAATAATAATAATAATAATAATGGCAGCAGAGTGACCTTGTTTACTGTGGACTCATCTTGTTGTGTTTCAAATAATAATAATAATTATAATAATAATAATAATAATAATAATAATGGCAGCAGAGTGACCTTGTTTACTGTGGACTCATCTTGTTGTGTTTCAAATAATAATAATAATAATAATAATAATAATAATAATAATAATGAGAAGTGTTCAACTTGTAATTTTTAGTTTTAAATAATAATAATAATAATAATAATAATAATAATAATAATAATTATTTATTTATTTATTTATTTATTTATTAGATGCACTTATTAACCGCCATTCTCAGTTATGTTAATCCCACAAACGAACATCTATATATATAAAAATGCTCTGTGCATAATGAGTACCTAAAAAACAAAAGAACCAATGAACGAAATCACACCAAATTTGGCAACAAAACATCTCACAGTTTTGTCATTTGGGAGTTGTAGTTGCTTGGATTTATAGTTCACCTACAATCAAAGAGCATTCTGAACTCCACTAATGATGGAATTGAACCAAACTTGGCACACAGAACTCCCATGACCAACAGAAAATACTGGAAGGGTTTGGTGGGCATGGACCTTGAGTTTTGGAGTTGTAGTTCACCTCCATCCAGAGAGCACTGTGGACTTAAACAATGATGGATCTGGACCAAACTTGGCACAAATACTCAATATGCCCAAATGTGAACACTGGTGGAGTTTGGGGGAAGTAGACCTTGACATTTGGGAGTTGTAGTTGCTGGGATTTATAGTTCACCTACAATCAAGGAGCATTCTGAACTCTACCAACGACAGGATTGGGGCAAACTTCCCACACAGAATTGTCATGACCAACAGAAAATACTGTGTTTTCTGGTGGTCTTTGGCGACCCTTCTGACACCCCCTCGCAACGCCCCTCAGGGGTCCCAAATGCCAGGTTGATAAATGCTACCTTAAGGCCATCCACTCCAACTCCCTTCATCAGGGCAAGAAAACATAAAGCCCTCCTGACAAAGAGCCATCCAGCCATAGATATAGATAAATATATATGATTCACACCAACACACACACACCAACACTCATATGTTTATGACAGATATAGTGCCATAGATTTGAAAGGGACCCCTAAAGAAGGGCAATGGTTCACCTTGATTTGGGGGAGCTGTCGTTCACTTACATCCAGAGAGCTCTGTGGATCTGGAACACATTTGGCACATATACCCAACACACCCACATTTGAATACTGGAAAGGTTTGGGAGAGATTGACCTTGATTATTGGGACTTGTAGTTCACCTACAACCAGAGAAACTGTGCAACCCACGGATGACGCACCTGACCACACTTGGCACACAGAACCCCCATCACCAACTGAACCTATTGGAGGGGTCTGACTGACCCACTATGGTGAGAGTTGTAGTTTACCCTGCAGTCAGAGATCACACTGAACTCCACCAATGATGCACCCCAAGCAAACTTGCCCAACATGAAAAACTTTAAGGACGGATGGAGTTTTTCGGGGTTAACCTGGCATGATGGGAGTTGTAGTTCACTCACAACCTTATGAATTTTGCAAAATAAAAAAGTTACTTTTTCAAATAATTTGGGCAATGCTGGATCCCCAAGCTAGTACAATAATAAATCGAACCAGGTCCCTCCAATCACTCACATCTTTCTCATTGTCCTCCACAGGGCTTCCTACAAAGGCGATGATCCGCATTTTGTGGTTCTTGCCTTGGCGGTGTTTCAAAGCCAGCTGCAATTACAAGGCACACGTTACTTACAGATAGCCACCCTTCCACAGTGTATTTCTTCCCCACAAAATATTTATTTATTTATTTATGGCATTTTTATGCCGCCTTTCTCACCCCGAAGGGGACTCAGAGCGGCTTACAAGATATATATACATACAATATATTATATTATTAGCATAGCACAATATCAGTATTATATATAACTATATTGTACTATATGATTATATTGTAATATTATTAGCATTACCACTGTACTGTAATATTATTAGTGATATTACATACAATACATAATTAATATTATTAGTATATATATATATATATATATATACACACACATATACAATATACTATATTATTAGCATACAATAGCAGTATTACATATTACTATATTGTACTATACCATTATATTGTAATATTATTAGCAATATTAACACTGTACTGTAACATTATTAGTAATATTACATGCAATATATTATTATTATTAGTATATATATATATATATACATACACACACAAATATACAATATACTTTATTATTAGCATAGTACAATATCAGTATTATATATTGCTATATTGTACTATACCATTATATTGTAATATTAGCAATATTAACACTGTACTACAACATTATTAGTAATATTACGTGCAATATATAATTAATATTATTATTAGCATATATATATGTATATATACACACACATACAATATACTTTATTATTAGCATAGTACAATATCAGTATTAAATATTACTATATTGTACTATACCATTATACTGTAATATTATTAGCAATATTAACACTGTACTACAATATTAGTAATATTACATGCAATATATAATTAATATATTATAATTATTAGTATATATATATATATACACACACACAATATACTTTATTATTAGCATAGTACAATATCAGTATTATATATTACTATATTGTACTATGCCATTATATTGTAATATTATTAGTAATATTACATGTAATATAAAATATATAACTATAACATCATGTTATTATTAGTATTATATTGCATTATATTATAATATTATAAATATTATATGCATATACAATATATTATATTACATTACATTATATTATTAGCATAGAGCAGGAGACATGGTAGAACTGTCCCTTGCCCCCCCCCCCTCTTCACTCTGGACCAGAGCGGCAGTTGGTGCTGAGGGGAGGGGACCCCAAGGTATCCAACCTTTCACAGTGTATTTCTTTCCCACAAAGTAGAATTGCTTTTCCTACAACTCCCAGGCTCCCTGGACGGAAGGAGGCTTTGAACTAGGAAAGTGAGAGCTTTGGTTTAAAAAGGATTGCGAAACGGGGTGGAGGAAACGTACGTGAGCGACTCGGATGCCGGTGCAGAATGTGATCTTCCCTTTGGGCTGCACCGAATGCAACTTGGACAGGATCCGGCCCGTGTCCGGAGTGAGGGTAGTCAGGACCTCGCAGTTACTGAAAGGCAGACAGGGAGACGTCAGTGATGGGTGGGGTGCAAAGAGAGCAGCCCCCGCAACCTGAAGGAAACCCACTTGGCGAGAGTGATGAGGCCCACGTTGTTCTCAGGGTTGCTGCGGGTCTTCGAATGGCAGACGATGTTGACCGCGTCTTGCTGGGCCTGGAGGCGAGTCGGTAGGAAGTCCCCATTCCTCATGTACTCACTGTTGTCGACACTGAAACAAAGCGGGATGAATTCCTTACTTCATTCATCAAAACATTTGCAAAGACAGAATGGAGGCAATGGCTTTGTTGTGTCTTGATTTTATTATGTTTAAAATGTGTTTTTTAAACTTTCACTTGTGTGGTTTTTTAAATTCTCACTTAATTATTTCTATTTCTTTTAAGTGTCTGTTGTAAGCCATCTTAGATACTGTAGAAATGGGAAGAAACTATGTAATATCACTAATATTATAATTATATATTTAATTACATGTAATATTACTAATAATATTACAATATAATGGTATAGTGCAATATAGTAATATATACTGATATTGTACTTTGCTAATAATATAATATATTGTATGAAAATATATATTGTAAGCCGCTCTGAGTCCCCTTCGGGGTGAGAAGGGCGGCATATAAGCGCCGTAAATAAATAAATAAATAAATAAATAATAAACTGGGGTAGATATTACACAAACAAACATCTGAAGACCTTAAAACACTGGAAGGTGCTAAAGTAAAGGTAAAGGTTTTCCCCCTGATATTAACTCCAGTCGTGTCCAACTGGGGATGGGTGCTCATCATTTCGAAGTCAAAGAGCCAGTGTTGTCCACAGACACCTCCAAGGTCATGTGGCCAGCATGAGTGCATGGCGTGCCGTTACCTTTTGCATGTTTTCGAACTGCTGTACCACAATATTATTAATAACATTACATGTAATATATAATATACAATTATTATATTGTATTATTATTATTAACAATATATTATATTATTATTAACATTATATATTATTATTAATATTACAATATAATATTTGTATATTATATATTATATGTAATATTATTAATAATATTGGAGTACAGAAGTTCAAAAACATGTATACATATATATGTATGTATAATATATTGTATTATTAGCATAGCACAATATTAGTATTATATATGAATATAATGTTGCTGAGGGGAGGGGCTCCCAACTGATGACCCAGGAGACATGGTGGAACTATGTCTTCCTGGCTCCCCTTCTTCACTTAACTTCAATTATTCCTCCCCTCTTTTCTGGAGCCCCAAATAATTCTCCCTTTCCCCTCCTGGACCTCCTTAATCTCTCGTCTGCCCTGGAACCCCAATTCCTCCTACTCATCCCTTAGACCCCACGGCCTCTTTTTAAGGCCTACTATAACCACTAATAACCCCACTCTCCCCTCCTGGACCCCACAAATCCAGCTCCAATTTGCTCCTACTCTCTTCTGAGGGCCTTAAACCCCCTTTTAGGGCCTATGAGACCCCCAAATACCCCACAAGTCCAGCTCCAATTTGCCCCTACTCTCTTCTGAGGGCCATAACCCCCCCCCTTTGAGACCCCCAAATACCCACAAATCCAGCACCCATTTGCCCCTACTCTCTTCTTAGGCCCTTTAACCCCCTTTTTGGGTATAGGACAACTCCAAATCACCCCATTCTTCCCTCCCATTTGCCCCTACTCTCTTCTTAGGTCCTTTAACCCCTTTTTGGATCTAGGATAACCCCAAATAACCCCATTCTTCCTTCCCATTTGCCCCTACTCTCTTCTTAGGCCCTTAAACCCCCTTTTTGGGTATAGGATAACCCCATTCTTCCCTCCAACTTGCTCCTAATCTCTTCTGAGGGGCTTAAACCCCCTTTAGGGCCTATGAGACCCCCAAATACCCACAAATCCAGCTCCAATTTGCCCCTACTCTCTTCTTAGGTCCTTTAACCCCTTTTTGGATCTAGGATAACCCCAAATAACCCCATTCTTCCTTCCCATTTGCCCCTACTCTCTTCTTAGGCCCTTAAACCCCCTTTTTGGGTATAGGATAACCCCATTCTTCCCTCCAACTTGCTCCTAATCTCTTCTGAGGGGCTTAAACCCCCTTTAGGGCCTATGAGACCCCCAAATACCCACAAATACAGCTCCAATTTGCCCCTACTCTCTTCTTAGGCCCTTAAACCCCCTTTTAGGGCCTATGAGACCCCCAAATAACCCAATTCCTCCCTCCTGGACCCCACAAATCCAGCTTCAATTTGCCCCTACTCTCTTCTTAGGCCCTTTAACCCCCTTTGTGGGTGTAGGATAACCCCAAATAACCCCATCCTCCCTCTGAACCCCCCAAATCCAGCTCCCATTTGCCCCTACTCTCTTCTTAGGCCCTTTAACCCCCTTTTTGGATCTAGTATAACCCCAAATAACCCCATTCTGCCCTCCCATTTGCCCCTACTCTCTTCTAAGGGGCCTATACCCCCTTTTAGGGCCTATGAGACCCCCAAATAACCCAATTCCTCCCTCCTGGACCCCCCAAATCCAGCTCCTACTCTCTTTTTAGGACTTTAAACCCTCTTTTAGGGCCTATGAGACCCCCAAATAACCCAATTCCTCCCTCCTGGACCCCACAAATCTAGCTCCTACTCTCTTTTTAGGCCTTTAAACCCCCTTTTAGGGCCTATGAGACCCCTAAATAACCCCATTCTTCCCTCCAATTTGCCCCTACTCTCTTCTGAGGGCCTTAAACCCCCTTTTAGGGCCTATGAGACCCCCAAATAACCCCAAATAATCCCATTCTTCCCTCCAATTTGCCCCTACTCTCTTCTTAGGGGCTTAAACCCCCTTTTAGGGCCTATGAGACCCCCAATTGACCCAATTCCTCCCTCCTGGACCCCACAAATCCAGCTCCTACTCTCTTTTTAGACTTTTAAACCCCCTTTTAGGGCCTATGAGACCCCCAAATAACCCAATTCCTCCCTCCTGAACCCCACAAATCCAGCTCCTACTCTCTTCTGAGGCCCTTAAACCCCCTTTTAGGGCCTATGAGACCCCCAAACACCCCACAAATCCAGCTCCAATTTGCCTCTACTTTTCTTATGCCCTTAAACCCCCTTTTAGGGCCTATGAGACCCCCAAATACCCCACAAATCCAGCTCCAATTTGCCCCTACTCCCTTCTGAGGGCCTTAAATCCCCTTTTAGGGCCTATGAGACCCCCAAATACCCTACAAATCCAGCTCCAATTTGCCTCTACTCTCTTCTTAGGCCCTTTAACTCCCTTTTTGGGTATAGGATAACCCCAAATAACCCCATTCTTCCCTCCAACTCTCTTCTTAGGCCCTTAAACCCCCCTTTGGGTCCAGGAGAACCCCAAATATCCCACAAATCCAGCTCCAATTTGCCCCTACTCTCTTCTGAGGGCCTTAACCCCCTTTTAGGGCCTATGAGACCCCCAAATACCCACAAATCCAGCTCCAATTTGCCCCTACTCTCTTCTTAGGCCCTTTAACCCCCTTTATGGGTATAGGATAACCCCAAATAACCCCATTCTTCCCTCCAACTCTCTTCTTAGGCCCTTAAACCCCCTTTTAGGCCTATGAGACCCCCAAATACCCCACAAATCCAAATAACCCAATTCCTCCCTCCTGGACCCCACAAATCCAGCTCCAATTTGCCCCTACTCTCTTCTTAGGCCCTTAAACCCCCTTTTAGGGACCAGGAGACCCCCAAACAACCCAATTGCTCCCTCCTGGACCCCCAAATCCAGCTCCTACTCTCTTCTGAGGGCCTTAAACCCCCTTTTAGGGCCTATGAGACCCCCAGGCGACCCTCCCTCTCTCCTGAGGCCCAACTCCCCCCTTTTGGGCCCAGCATGACTCAGGGAAAGCGAGGCCTCTCCCTCCCTGAGGCCTGTTTCCCCCTCTCGCCCTTCCTCACCAGACCATCGTGCTCTCCAGCACCATCCTGGCTCCCTTTCCACCTCACAGGCCTCTCGGGGAAAGAATCAAGACGCGAACGCCGCCGCCACAGCTTCTCCTTCTCCCTCTTTCTGCCTTTCCGGCTCGTTTTCCCAGTTTGGTCCAATCAGCGGCGCGCTTCTTGGCAGGCCGGAACGCCGCGCGGTGCCTCTCGGGAATGGTAGTCTTTCCCTCCCACACAAACACTCGGCTCCTCTTCCGGTCTCGTGATTTGCTAGGGCTGTGTGGACCAATCGGAAGAGCGCTTCACAGCAAGGCTTCCTGGGAAGTGTAGTTCTTTTTGTATTTCTGCCTTCCTCTCTCTCTTATCACTGGTTCTCAACCTTCCATCACATTTTTTTCGTTGTAGTTTTGCTATTGTTTGGAATCATCATGTAAATAGCTGAGGTTCAAGGTGTATTTCTATTCACTAGACGACATTTGGCAGAAATATCCTAATTTTAATATTTTTTTAATATTTTGTCATTTGGGAGTTGTAGTTGCTGGGATTTATAGTTCACCCACAACCAAAGAGCATTCTGAACTCCACCAATGATGGAATTGAACCACACCTGGAACACAGAATTCCCATGAGCAACAGAAAATACTGGGAGGGATTGGTGGGCATTTACCTTGAGTTTGGGATTTATAGTTCACCTACAAGTAAAGAACATTCTGAACTCCACCAATAATGGAATTGAACCAAACTTGGCACACAGAACTCCCATTACCAAGGGAAAATACTGGAAGGGTTTGGTGGGCACTGACCTTGACTTTGGGAGTTGTAGTTCACCTATACCCAGGGAACACTGTGGACTCAAACGGTGATAGATCTGGACCAATATGCCCAAAGGTGAACACTGTGGAGTTAGAGGAAAGTAGACCTTGACATTTGGGAGTTGTAGTTGCTGGGATTTATAGTTCACCCACAATCAAAGAGCACTCTGAACTCCACCAACGATGGAATTGAACCAAACTTGGTGCACAGAACTCCCATGAGCAACAGAAAATACTGGAAAGGTTTGGTGGGCACTGACCTTGAGTTTGGGAATTGTAGTTCACCTACATGCAGGTAGCACTGAGGACTCAAACAATGAGGGAACTGGACCAAACTTGGCACGAGTACTCAATATGCCCAAATGTGAACACTGCTGGCGTTTGGGGAAAATAGACCTTGACATCTGGGAGTTGTAGTTGCTGGGATTTATAGTTCACCTACAACCAAAGAGCATTCTGAACTCCACCAAGGATGGAATTGAACCAAACTTGGTGAAGTTCCAAATGCTCTTTGGTTGTAGGTGAACTATAAATCCCAGCAACTACAACTCCCAAATGTCAAGATTCTATTTTCCCCAAACTCCACCAGTGTTCACATTTGGGCATATTGAGTATTCGTGTAGAGTTTGGTCCAGATCCATCATTGTTTGACTCCACAGTGATCTCTGGATGTAGGTGAACTACAACTCCAAAACCAAAGGACACTGCCCACCAAACCCTTCCAGTATTTTCTGGAGGTCATGGAAGAACTGCGTGCCAAGTTTGGTTCAATTCCATCGTTGGTGGGGATTCAGAATACTCTTTGATTGTAGGCAAACTATAAATCCCAGCAACTACAACTCCCAAATGTCAAAATCAATCCCTATCGACCCCACCAAGGATGGAATTGAACCAAACTTGGTAGAGTTTCAAATGCTCTTTGGTTGTAGGTGAATTATAAATCCCAGCAACTACAACTCCTAAATGACAAAATCAATCCCTATCAATGGAATTGTACCAAACTCCCATGACCAAAAGAAAAAACTGGATGGGTTTGGTGGCCATTGACTTTGAGTTTGGAAGTTGTAATTCACCTACATCCAGAGAGCACTGTGGACTCAAACAAGGAGAGATCTGGACCAAATTCTACACAAATACTGAATATGCCCAAAAAGGAACACAGGTGGAGTTTGGGGGAAATAGACCTTGACATTTGGGAGTTGTAGTTGCTGGGATTTATAGTTCACCTACAACCAAAGAGCTTTGGAACTCCACCAAGGATGGAATTGAACCAAACTTGGTGGAGTTCCAAATGCTCCTTGGTTGTAGGTAAACTATAAATCCCAGCAACCACAACTCCCAAATGACAAAATCAATCCCTATTAACCCCACCAAGGATGGAATTGAATCCAATTCCTATGACCAACAGAAAATATTGGAAGGGTTTGGTGGGCATTGAACTTGAGTTTGGGAGTTGTAGTTCACCTGCATCCAGAGAGCACTGTGGACTCAAAGAATGATGGATCTGGACCAAACTTGTCAAGGATACGCAATATGCCCCAATATGAACACTGAAGGGTTTTGGGGGAATTTGACCTTCACATTTGGGAGTTGTAGTTGCTGGGATTTATAGTTCACCCACAATTAAAGAGCATTCTGAACTTCACCAATGATGGAATTTAACCACACCTGGAACACAGAATTCCCATGAGCAACAGAAAATACTGGGAGGGATTGGTGGGCATTAACCTTGAGTTTGGGATTTATAGTTCACCTACAAGTAAAGAACATTCTGAACTCCACCAATGATGGAATTGAACCACACCTGGAACACAGAATTCCCATGACAAAAATAAAATACTGGAAAGGTTTGGTGGGCATTGACCTTGAGCTTGGGAATTGTAGTTCACCTACATCCAGAGAGCACTGTGGACTCAAACGATGATAGGTCTGGACCAAACTTGGTACAAATACTCAATATGCCCCAATGTGAACACTGCTGGGGTTTGGGGAAAATAGACCTTGACATGTGAGAGTTGTAGTTGTTGGGATTTATAGTTCACCTAAAATCAAACAGCACTCTGAACTCCACCAATGATGGAATTGAAACAAACTTGGTGAACAGAAATCCCGTGACCAAAATAAAATATTGGAAAGGTTTGGTGGGTGTTGCCCTTGAGTTTGGGAGTTGTAGTTTACCTACATCCAGAGAGCACTGTGTACTCAATGATAGATCTGGACCAAACTTGACAAGGATACGCAATATACTCAAATGTGAACACTGGTGGAGTTTGTGCAAAATAGACCTTGACATTTGGCAGTTGTAGTTGATGGGATTGATAGTTCATCTACAATCAAAGAGCGTTCTGAAGAAAAAGCCACTCTCTAACTTGACGCCTTCCAAAGGTCTTGGGCAAATGCCCCCATAATCCCCAAGTCACGTGGCCAGTGATCCGAGCTGTGTGTCCATGTTCCAGAAGTAATCTCTACTGACATTTCGCCTACATCTATGGCAGGCATCCTTAGAGGTCTGTTGGAAACTAGGCAAGTGGGGTTTCTATATCTGTGGAATAATGTCCAGAGTGGGAGAATCCTAGAATCAAAGAGTTGGAAGAGACCTCCTGGGCCATCCAGTCCAACCCCATTCTGCCAAGAAGCAGGAATATTGCATTCAAATCACCCCTGACAGATGGCCATCCAGCCTCTGTTTAAAAGCCTCCAAAGGAGGAGCCTCCACCACACTCCAGGGTAGAGAGTTCCACTGTTGAACGGCTCTCACTGTCAGGAAGTTCTTCCTCATGTTCAGATGGAATGTCCTTTCTTGTAGTTTGAAGCCAGTTCCTTGTCCTAGTCTCCAAGGAAGCAGAAAACAAGCTTGCTCCCTCCTCCCTATGACTTCCTCTCACATATTTATACATGCCTATCATATCTCCTGCTTGACTCAAGCAGAAAGAACTCGTCTGCTTGAGTCAAGTATGATTGTTGCAATTGATCCACCTTGATTAGAATTGAATAGCCTTGCAGCTTCAAAGCCTAGCTGCTTCCTGCCGGGGGAATCCTTTGTTGAGAGGTTTATTTATCCCACACAGCACCTTCCAGATATATAAAGCTCACTTGTCTAGTTTCCAACAGACCTCATAACCTCTGAGGATGCCTGCCAGAGATGGGGGCGAAACGTCAGGAGAGACTGCTTCTAGAACACGGCCAGTTAGCCCAGAGCACTCACAGCAACCCATGCCAACTTGGTTCAGAGAGGTTATATCTTTACTTAACCTTAGCCTTACAACTTCGGGGAGATGGTGGCAGGGTATAAATAAAATTATTATTATTATTATTATTATTATTATTATTATTATTATTATTATTACTATTATTTCAATGGCTTCTCAGTTTTGTATTAACTCGGATCGCAATAGTTTTCAAATCTAAGGTAAAGATTTTCCCCTGACATTAAATCCAGACGTATCTGACTTTAGGGGTTGGTGCTCATCCCCATTTCTAAGCCAAAGAGTCAGCGTTGTCTGCAGACACCTCCAAGGTCATGTGGACTGCATGGAAAACCACTACCTTCTTGCCAAAGTTATACCTATTGATCTACTCACATTTGCGTGTTTTCGAACTGCTAGGTTGGCAGGAGCTGGGGCTAACTGTGGGAGCTCACCTCGCTACCCGGATTCAAACCAGCAGCCTTTCGGTCAGCAAGTTCAGCAGCTCAGTGGTTTAACCCACTGTGCCACGGATATTTCAACTCTATTTTGCTTTTAATTTCAGCTTTGTCTTAAATGGCGAGATATAAAACTAAACACACATTTGAAAGACTGGCACCCACAGCAGCTTATGTTGAAATAAAGGTGTCTTAAAGGTGCCATTATGTTCTTTGGGCATGGGATGGGCAAGCTGAGGATGATGGGCTACATGGGCTAAATAATAATAATAATAACAATAATAGAAGCTTGGGAAGTGCCTGACGTGTGATCCAATTCAATAGCCAGCAGAGTGTCTGCTGTGGACTCATCTTGTGGTGTTTCTAATAATAATAATAATAATAATAATAATAATAATAATAATAATTACATCACACAATCCTAGACACTTGGGAAGTGTCCGATGTGTGATCTAATTTCCGATGTGTGATCTAATTCAACAGCCACCAGAGTGCCTGCTGTGGACTCATCTTGTTGTGTTTCTAATAATAATAATAATAATAAATAATAATAATGGGAAGTGTCCGATGTGTGATCCAATTCAACAGCCACCAGAGTGTCTGCTGTGGACTCATCTTGTTGTGTTTCAAATAATAATAATAATAATAATAATAATAATAATAATAATAATAATAATAAAAAATACATAACACAATCCTAGACACTTGGGAAGTGTCCGACATGTGATTCAATTCAATAGCCAGCAGAATGCCTGCTGTGGATTTATTTTGTTGTGTTTCTAATAATAATAATAATAATAATAATAATAATAATAATAAATACATCACACAGTCCTAGACACTTGGGAAGTGTCCAATGTGCGATCCAATTCAACAGCTAGCAGAGTGTCTGCTGTGGATTCATCTTGTTGTGTTTCTAATAATAATAATAATAATAATAATAATAATAATAATAATAATAATAATAATAATAATAATGGGAAGTGCCCGGCGTGTGATCCAATTCAACAGCCAGCAGAGTGTCTGCTGTGGACTCATCTTGTTGTGTTTCTAATAATAGTAATAATAATAATAATAAATACATAATAATAATAAATACATAATAATAATAAATACATCACACAGTCTTAGACACTTGGGAAGTGTCCAACGTGTGATCCAATTCAACAGCCAGCAGTGTCTGCTGTGGACTCATATTGTTGTGTTTCTAATAATAATAATAATAATAATAATAATAGGAAGTGTCCGGCGTGGGATCCAATTCAACAGCCAGCAGAGTGTCTACTGTGGACTCATCTTGTTGTGTTTCTAATAATAATAATAATAATAATAATAATAATAATAATAATAATAATAATGATAATGATAATAATAATAATAATATATCACAGTCCTAGACACTTGGGAAGTGTCCGACGTGTGATCCAATTCAACAGCCAGCAGAGTGTCCGCTGTGGACTCATCTTGTTGTGTTTCTAATAATCATCATCATCATCATCATCATCATCATCATCAACATCATCATCTTGGGAAGTGTCCGACGTGTGATCCAATACAATAGCCAGTAGAGTGTCTACTGTGGACTCATCTTGTTGTGTTTCTAATAATAATAATAATAATAATAATAATAATATTTTTTATTTATACCCTGCCATCACCTCCCCAATGGGGACTCGGGGCGGCTTACATGAGGCCCTGAATCATGTAATTGGGTTTCCACAGGAATGGATGCAAATAGTCGCCGTCTGCAATTCAACAGTCCTTCAGTCTGGGAAGAAAAAGAACCAAAGAGAGCTTTATTGAACGGAGTTGCATACCGCAAATGGCGAGGCCGAGAAACAGATGTTTTCTAAGGGTGCAGGATTCCCCGTCCATTCGAACCGGCAGCAAACGGGAATAAGAAAAGAGGCGGCAACACAAAAGTCCAAGTGACGGAAACCCACAACACGATACATTGCGATGAAGAGATGTTTACGCTCCTTCTGGAGGAACAAGCTGCGGATCAATGCTTTCGATTCCCATCTTCGAGTCATTGAAAACCAAAGGATTTCCCATTTCAGCTCCTTCGACGAGGAACTGCGACCGAACCCGAGTCTCGTTTTCGTTCTGCGCAAAAACAAACTCATTTCCGCTTGGAAAAATTCCAAAGCGAGGCCTAGAACGATCCGCCCCATCTCCCGGAATACGCTTAAATACAACTTCATAAATAGTTTTACATTGTGAGCGAGAAAAATATATAATATATATATATAACCCCCAAAAGCCAAACCGCGAGATAACTTGCTTTGTGTTCCCCTTTTTTTCGCGCAGGACAAAAAAATATAGAGAATCGTGGGGACGTTTTTCGGAAGAGTTCGCAGGTGTCTAATATAGACAAGTTACGTCAATATTTCTCGTAGAATCGGAGGGGCAAATGCAAGGGAAAGGCTGTGTTTGAAGGTTGGGAACGTGTCCTCCAATTGTTGGAAAAAGTCACAAGGAGAGAACTACGTTTTCTCTCCGAAAACACTGCAGGAAGGAAATAGAAAGAGCCACAAATGCCCAGGACACGTTTCCTGATTTCTTAACCCTGTTTCAAACGTAGTCTGTTCTCCGCTGTCCATTTTCAGCGCGAAAGGTTCATTGATCGTGTCCGCAACTGAGACTTAACCCAGATTTGGATATCTATTTGTCTTCGGAAGTTGCCTGAAAAGCTCGGTAACAGCGTCACCCCATCCAACGTCAACACTGGGACGCTTTTGACCTTCTTTCGACCAAAACAACCACCTTTTAGCTTCAAGTTTAGATCCCAGAAGGAAGGCAGGGTCTCAGCTAGGAAGTATTAAAAAAAACTCACATTTTGCTTCTCGTTGGGTTCGTAAAGGTCTAAAACTCTATGCTATTTTTTTCCTCCAAATTTTTTAAAAAAGGATGAAAAGACAGATATATTTTCTGTATTGTCGAAGGCTTTCATGGCCGGAATCGCTGGGTTGTTGTAGGTTTTTTCGGGCTATATGGCCATGTTCTAGAGGCATTTTCTCCTGACATTTCGCCTGCATCTATGGCAAGAGGTAGTGAGGTCTGTTGGAACTAGGAAAATGGGTTTATATATCTGTGGAATGACCAGGGTGGGACAAAGGACTCTTGTCTGCTGGAGCTAGGTGTGAATGTTTCAATTGACCACCTTGATTAGCATTTAATGGCTTGAAAGTGCCTGGGGGACTACACAGAGAAGCCACTGAAATCCACAAGTATGTGGACAATTGTTCCAACTATCTGGCTGGGGGATTTTGGGAGTTGTAGTCCAACCTTCCCTCTGTCTCATCCCTAGACAGAGACTTCCTGCAACTCCACTTGTATTATGGTCAGCAATTCCAGTCTGGTTGGAAAAGCAGCTCAGCAATACATTCCAATGTTGTTCCAACTATCTGGCTGGGGGATTTTGGGAGTTGTAGTCCAACCTTCCCTCTGTCTCATCCCTAGACAGAGACTTCCTGCAACTCCACTTGCATTATGGTCAGCAATTCCAGTCTGGTTGGAAAAGCAGCTCAGCAATACATTCCAATGTTGTTCCAAATATCTGGCTGGGGGATTCCGGGAGTTGTAGTCCAACCTTCCCTCTGTCTCATCCCTAGACAAAGACTTCCTACAACTCCACTTGTATTATGGTCAGCAATTCCAGTCTGGTTGGAAAAGCAGCTCAGCAATACATTCCAATGTTGTTCCAAATATCTGGCTGGGGGATTCCGGGAGTTGTAGTCCAACCTTCCCTCTGTCTCATCCCTAGACAAAGACTTCCTACAACTCCACTTGTATTATGGTCAGCAATTCCAGTCTGGTTGGAAAAGCAGCTCAGCAATACATTCCAATGTTGTTCCAAATATCTGGCTGGGGGATTCCGGGAGTTGTAGTCCAACCTTCCCTCTGTCTCATCCCTAGACAAAGACTTCCTACAACTCCACTTGTATTATGGTCAGCAATTCCAGTCTGGTTGGAAAAGCAGCTCAGCAATACATTCCAATGTTGTTCCAAATATCTGGCTGGGGGATTCCGGGAGTTGTAGTCCAACCTTCCCTCTGTCTCATCCCTAGACAAAGACTTCCTACAACTCCACTTGTATTATGGTCAGCAATTCCAGTCTGGTTGGAAAAGCAGCTCAGCAATACATTCCAATGTTGTTCCAAATATCTGGCTGGGGGATTCCGGGAGTTGTAGTCCAACCTTCCCTCTGTCTCATCCCTAGACAAAGACTTCCTACAACTCCACTTGTATTATGGTCAGCAATTCCAGTCTGGTTGGAAAAGCAGCTCAGCAATACATTCCAATGTTGTTCCAAATATCTGGCTGGGGGATTCCGGGAGTTGTAGTCCAACCTTCCCTCTGTCTCATCCCTAGACAAAGACTTCCTACAACTCCACTTGTATTATGGTCAGCAATTCCAGTCTGGTTGGAAAAGCAGCTCAGCAATACATTCCAATATTGCTCCAACTATCTGGCTGGGGGATTTTGGGAGTTGTAGTCCAATTTCAACAGAAAGGAAGAAACCATGAAAATGAACAAAATCTGGCTACCAGTATTAAAAAAACTCAAAAATTACGACAGCAAAACAACAGAGAGGAAACAATCAGGCACATCAAAGAAAGATTCCCCCCCGGCACTTCCAAGCCATTAAATGCTAATCAAGGTGGTCAGTTGAAACATTCACACCTAGCTCCAGCAGACAAGAGTCCTTTGTCCCACCCTGGTCATTCCACAGATATATAAACCCATTTTCCTAGTTCCAACAGACCTCGCTACCTCTTGCCATAGATGCAGGCGAAACGTCAGGAGAAAATGCCTCTAGAACATGGCCACATAGCCCGGAAAACTTACAACAACCCAGCGATATAGTTTCTCACTGTGGGGAAAAACTAAGTTTTTAAAAATACGTCTCAGCACAAATGCACATCCTTCGCAACCGGGGAGGGAATAAAAACAAGTGACGCTGCCGTCCAAACAAGCGGCCATTTTTTAAAAAAACCAAAGTGCATCACAACTAAAATCCAAACTAGACGGAAAAGAGAGGAAGAGTTGGCTGTTTAAGAGAGAGAAATGCCAAAGGATCTGTTCTTCGAAAGGAAAAAAGGCCTCGCAGGGTTTTAATACTGAGAATAAGGGTCCGAAAGGAGGGGAAAAAGTTTGGTCCGTGTGTCAAAGGCGTCGTAAGTGTTGTTGACAAAACCGTGCAGAGGTTGGTGCAGTTTTAGAACCCCAACCAAGTATTATATTATGTTTTTTATATATATATATAATATATATATATTATATTTTATATATATATATATAATATAAATATATAAATATACATAATATAATATATATATAACATAATATAATATATATATAATATAATATTATATATATAATATATTATATAATATTATATATATAATATTATATATATATATATAATTTTTTGGCGAGGCTAAGAACCACACTATTCAAAAAAAAATAATTCATGTTGGAAAAGTACAGCCTTTTTCCCTTCGCGGTGCGTCGCTTCCAAACCTTGACCTAAGATCGTTAACTTAAAAATATAATACCTTGATATATATATATATATATATGGCAATTTGTGGGGGGAAATGGGGAAGTGGTTTAAATACATTGCTTTTTCAAAATGGAAAGAGATTGTTCACCTTTTGCAACACCAAGGATTCCCCCCCCCCCCAAACCCTCACCCTGTCTGTTAAATCCAACCAGCAGAGCAAACTTGGAATGAAGAGGCGGTTTGCGGCGTCGGCACGAGCTCCGCTCGAACGCGCCGCTTCTGGTAGGTTTCCGGCCGCGAATCAGGGCCTCTCGAAGCCTCCCCCACCACACAATTGGGGAATGGGCTTCCTCTGCCCTGGTGGGGAGGTCTCAAAGGAGCCCCCCATGTAACGCGGCAGAGGCTTGTCGTCTGTTCAGGGCCCAAACCACAATTGGATGAGGTCTCAGGTCTCAACCACCGGAGGGGGGATCAGTGGTGGATCTGTTGCAGAGAAAGTCTTCCGCTCGTATCCAAGGAAAAGGAGGTCTGGGGAAGGAGCCAGTCCTCATTCATTCACTGTAAAGAGCAGAAAAGAAACAAAGTTTGTGTCACAGACATGATGTATTCTGCAGCGGAGGATACCCCTGAATCGTGGGAAAAAACGTGATGACCCCTCTTTTTTGGAAAATGTGAATCTCCATAACCATTTGGGAAATAGGATTCATAATAATAATAATTACTATTATTATTATTATGAATCCTATTTCCCAAATGGTTATGAAATATTATTGTTAGAAATTATTATTATGAATTATTATTATGAATCCTATTTCCCAAAAGGTTATGAAATATTGTTAGGAATTATTATTATTATGAATTATTATTATTATTATTATTATTATGAATCCTATTTCCCAAATGGTTATGAAATATTATTGTTATGAATTACTAGCTGTGCCCTGCCACACGTTGCTGTGGCCTATAGTAAGAATTTTCGAAGTAGAAGTAGATATCTGGACTATTATGAAAGAGAGATACCTACCTATTCCTCCCCCCCTTTTTCTTCTCCTTTCCCTTTTTCTCCTTTCTTCCTTCTCTACCTCTTTCTTTTATTCCTTCTTTCGCTCTTTGGTTTCATCCTTCCTTCTCTCTTTCCTTCCTTCCTTCCCTCCCTTTCTCTACTTCTTCCTTTGTCTCCTTTCTTCCCTCCCTGTTTCCTTCCTTCTTTTACTTTTTAAATTTTCTTTTCTCCTTCCTTCTTTCTTTACTTCTTTCCTGCATTTCCCTCCATTTTTCTTTCCTTTCTACGTTCTCTTCTTCCTTCCTTTGGTACCTCTTGCTTTCCTTCCCTCCTTCCTTTTTTCCCTCCCTCCTTCTCTCTTTCATTCCTTCCCCCTTTCCCTCCTTCATTCCTTCCCTTTTTCCCTCCCTCCTTTCTTCTCTCCTTCCTTCTTGTCTGTTCTCCATCAATACCATGGTAGAGTCCCTTCTAACTCTATTCTATGAGTCTATTTAATATAGTAATATATAGTAGTAACATTATATTATATAGTAGTATATGTAACAATAATATATATTATATAATATATATGTATTATATAGCAATATATATATATAATAGTAACATATAAAGTATTGTAATTATACACACACACACACACACCAACCAGAGATCCAACATCCATCCGTGTGTGTGTGTGTGTGTGTGTGTGTCTACACTGCCATATAATCCAGTCCTAAGTAGATAATCTGGATTGTGTTATTATCTTCCTTTTTTGAATTTAAAGGTGTTTTGTGGGGTTTTTTTTTTTCAGTGATGGTCACTCCTTGGATTGTGAGGAATTTTGTTGCCAAACTTGGGGTTATTTGGCCCCGTAGTTTTTTTGTTTTTAAGCCCCTCATTATGCACAGAGCATTTATATATATATATAGATAATAATGTTTGTTTGTGGGATTAACATAACTCAAAAACCACTATCTATGGCAGGACGTGAAACAATCAGGGCCAGCTAACACCTCCCAACAAAAGATTCCCTCAGACCGGAAGTAGCTAGGCTTTGAAGCTGGTTTTTGAGTTCTGTTAATCCCACAAACGAACATTACATTTGTATTGATATCGATGAGGTTGTTGTCCAAAGCGGACTCCTCTCACTGGGGCTGGGAAACGGTGACAAAAGTAGTTAAGCAAGAGACCACTTACAAAACTGATCTCCGTCTCCGGCAAATCTTCAAACTGCTCTGCCAGCTCAGACGTCCGTCCTGGTGCGGAGGGTCCTGGAGAAGCACTGCAGGAGAAGAGCCGCCAGAAGGAGGGGAAAAAGAGAAGACGTTGGTCTATCTTTCTCTCAAGTATTTTGCCTAACATGTTAACATCCCATAGACTTAACTGGACTCAATGCTGCTTTGCTATCTAAGGGCACCATCTAAGCCGGGTCCATCATTGGTGGGGTTCAGAGTGCTCTTAGATTGCAGGTGAACTATAAATCCCAAGATCTACAACTCCTATAAATCCTGGTGACTTCTCCCCAAACCTCTTTAGTATGTCTAGTTGCTGATCAATTCCTCTGTGCACCATAGAAATGAATAGGAAAGGGTTAAGGGAGAGGCAGTGGGTGGGGTCATGCAAATTCCACACCTATTTATTTATTTACTGTATTTGTATACCACCTTTCTCAGCCCGTATGCGACTCAAGGCGGTTAACAGGTCCCTTCAATGCTTACAATGTCATAAATACAATTAAAAACACAGCATCTAATAAAAACGAAACAAAATAAAATATAAATGCAGAGTAAGAAACAATGGGATGTCTGTGGTGGAGGAAACACATAAAATCTAGGATGGAAACCTCTCTTCCTTTCCTTCTTTTCCTCCCTCCCTCTTTCCCTTTCTTCATTTCCTTCCCTCTCTCCTTTCTTCACCCCCTCCTTTCTTTCCCTCCTTCCTTCCTCCTTCCTTCCTTCTCCTTTCTCCCTCCCTTCCTGTCCCTCCGTTTTTTTCCCTCCCCCTTTTTCCCTCCCTCCCTTTTTCCTTCCTTCCTGTCCCTCCTTCTTTCATCCTTTCCTTCTTTTCCTCCCTCCCTCTCTTTCCTCCTCCTTTCCCTTTCTTCATTTCCTTCCCCTTCATTTCCTTCCCTCCCTCCTTTCTTCATCCCCCTTTCTTTCCCTCCTTCCTCCCTACCTTCCTGTCCCTCCATTTTTTTTCTACCTTCCCTTTTTCCCTCCCTCCCTTCCTTTTTCCTTCCTTCCTGTCCCTCCTTCCTCCTTCTTTTCCTTCCTCCCTCCCTCTCCTCCTTCTTTCCCTTTTTTCATTTCCTTCCTCTTCATTTCCTTCCCTCCCTCCTTTCTTCATCCCCCTCCTTTTTTCCCTCCCTCCTTCCTCCTTCCTTCCTCCCTCCCTCTCTTCCTGTCCCTCCTTCTTTCTTTTCCTTCCTTCCTGTCCCTCCCTCCTTCCTTCTTTCTAAGATATAAATACAATATTAAATGGAAGGGACAGACAAGAAGTAACGAGAGAAGGAGGGAAAAAGGGAAGGAAGGAAGAAGAGAAGCAGGGAGGGAAAGAAGGATAGAAAGAAAGAGAGAAGCAAGGAAGGAGAGAAGGAAATAAAAAAGTGAAAGGAAAAAGAGAGGGAAGGAAGGAGAGAAGGAACGAAAGATAAGGAAGGAAGGAAGGATGTAACCAAAGAGCAAAAAAAGGGAGGAAAGAAACAGGTAGAGATGGAAGAAAGACGAGAGATAGGGAAAGAAAAAGAGGAAAGGAAGGAAAGAGGGAAGGAAGGAGAGAAAGAGGGAGAGAAGGTTGGCCACAGCAACGTGTGGCAGGTACAGCTAGTATTTAATAAGCCTTGGCACTATAAGAGGATTTTGCGAGACCAGTTGCTCTCGTTGCAACGGTGTAGTAACAGTGAGACCATAGACCGTATTTTATTTATTTATTATTTATTTACGACATTTATATGCCGCTCTTCTCACCCTGAAGGGGACTCAGAGCAGCTTACAAGAGATATATACATAAAAAGGTAAAGGTAAAGGTAGTCCCCTGACATTAAGTCCAGTCATGTCTGACTCGGGTGTGGTGCTCATCTCCATTTCTAAGCCAAAGAGCCAGTGTTGTCCGTAGACACCTCCAAGGTCATGTGGCCGGCATGACTGCATGGAGCGCCGTTACCTTCCCGCCAGAGCGGTACCTATTGATCTACTCACATTTGCATGTTTTCGAACTGCTAGGTTGGCAGAAGCTAGGGCTGAAGCGGAAGCTCACGCCGCTCCCCGGAATCGAACCTGCGACCTTTCGGTCAACAAGCTCAGCAACTCAACACTTTAACCCACTGCACCACCGGGGGCTCCCATATATATATACATACAATATACTATTGTATAATATACTGATATTGTACTATGCTAATAATATAGTGTGTATATATATATATATATATATATATACACACACACACACACACATATAATATACTATATTATTAGCATAGTACAATATCAGTATAATATATTACTATACTGTATTATACCAATATATTGTAATATGGGGGCTCGTCCGGGATCTGACAATCTGTTTTTTCTCATGTTTTTTCATGAGAAAAAACAGATTGTCAGATCCCGGACGAGCCCCCATATTACAATATATTGGTATAATACAATATAGTAATATATAATACTGATATTGTACTATGCTAATAATATAGTGTGTGTATATATATATATACACACACACATATAATATACTATATTATTAGCATAGTGAAATATCAGTATTATATATTACTATATTGTATTATACCAATATATTGTAATATGGGGGCTCGTCCGGGATTTGACAATCTGTTTTTTCTCATGGGCTAAATCAGTTAGTTATTAGTAATATTACATGTAATATATAATTATAATATCATATTATTATTATTAGTATTATATTGCATTACATTATAATATTATAAATATTTTAGTTCTTGCAGACCACTCACTGGTGCTCCACGGACCACAGGTGGGAAACCAATGATGTACAGGGTAGCTATTTTGCACAAATCTTTCACGAAAAGAAAAAAAAAACCCACTATGCACCAAAACTGTCATATGGTTTTGTTGTACAAGCCTGCTGTTTTCTGCACAAGGGTTTCATTGTGCAGGCGCTTTCTTGGCCACAGTGAGATGCTATGAGGCCCCGGGCACAATGTCTACCCCAGGACAAATCTATGCATTCCCCACTCTGTGTATGGAGATCATGGCAAGGACAGAAGTGCTGTCCTTCTGCCAATGATGCCCATTGTCTTCCATTGCCGATTTTAAGAAGGTGTGATGACCACACATAAACAGCTGGTAAGTCAGTTCCAAGTGCCTGTGTACCACAAATACCTCGTTTCTCCTAGTCTATCTAGACTCGGTCTCACCTACTTGAAAGCACGCTGAGCTAGCTACCTCCGTGGACAAGTTGTCTGAACAGAGCAAGTCTTCTTTTTCTGACCTACGTGAGAATTAAAGAGACAGGCTTTCCATCATCGAGCAAGACACACAACTCTCTACTGCCTACTCCACGTTTCCCCTCTCCTGGTCCTCTGTTTGGAAGGAAAGCCATTAAAAAAAATAATTTGAGCATTGAATAGCTATACACATGTGGGCCGAATCAGTTAGTTATTTTAATATGGGGGCTCGTCCGGGATCTCACAATCTGTTTTTTCTCATGGGCTAAATCAGTTAGTTATTCTAATATGGGGGCTCGTCCGGGATCTCACAATCTGTTTTTTCTCATGGGCTTAATCAGTTATTCTAATATGGGGGCTCGTCCGGTATCTCACAATCTGTTTTTTCCCAAATACTAATGTCTGAACAGAGAATGCTAAGAGGATATATATGAGAGCCATGTTTAAAATTATATCCTAAGGAAAGGAGACTGGGACTCAATGGAGCCATGGGTTCAAGTGACAGGAAAGGAAAATCCTCCTGAACATTAGAAAGAACTGTTGGGGGGAAGCAACCTTCTCAAGCCTCCTCTATATGATGTTTGTCTGTTTTGTAATGTGTCGTTTTATAACCTGAAATATTTTTCTGATTTGATTTGCAGTTTCCTTATCTCTATATACCTAAGGCAGTGGGAGGGGCTGCAGATCACATGAGACTGACTCAGTGACAGTTTAGAATGTTCAGGTCTGAACAAGATGACAGAAAATGTCAGTTGAGGAATGACTGTTAGAGAAGTGTGTTAAACCTTTAGTGAGCTTGAGTACAGAAGTCTGCCAGAGTGCAGAAGCTCGTGTTAGGAAGTTAGAAATGGTTGAGGTTTGTGTTCCAAATGGTGTAGGTTTTGAAACAGAGGCTGGGTGGCCATCTGTTGGAGGTGCTTTTCTTGCACGGCAGAACTTCCTGACTGCTAAATGGGGGCTCGTCCGGGAGCCCCCATTTCAACAGTAGAACTCACTGCCTCTGAGTCCAGTGGAGGCTTTGAAACAGAGGCCAGGTGGCCATCTGTTGGGGGTACTTTTCCTGCATGTCAGAACTTCCTTACTACTAAACTGTTCAACAGTGGAACTCACTGCCTCTGAGTCCACTAAAGGCTTTGAAATAGAGTCTGGGTGCAAACTGTCGGGGCTACTTTTCCTGCATGGCAGAACTTCCTGAATACTAAAGCTGTTCAACAGTGGAACTATCTACCTCTAAATCCACTAAAGGCTTTGAAACAGAGGCTCAGTGGCCATCTGTCAGGGGTGCTTTTCCTGCATGGCAGAACTTCCTGGCTACTAAACTGTTCAACAGTGGAACTCACTGCCTCGGAGTCTGGTGGAGGCTTGGAAACAGAGGCCGGGTGGCCAATTGTTGGGGGTGCTTTTCCTGCATGGCAGAACTTTCTGACTGCTAAACAGTTCAACAGTGGAACTCACTGCCTCAGAGTCCGGTGGAGGCTTTGAAACAGAGGCTGGATGGCCATCTGTTGGAGATGCTTTTCTTGCATGGCAGAATGGGGTTAGATTGGATGGCCCTTGGGGTCTTTTCCAACTCTTATGATTCTATGAGCAGCTTTATGCAATCTTTCATGGGCTGCCATTCATTTCGTCTGGATGCTGGGACTAGTTTTGTGCTCCCCTCCAAATGCCTCGTAGCGATTTGGGGGCACTTCTGCCATGTTTTTAGATTCTCCTTGCCTCAAAATGACCCAAATTGCAGACCATAGCCACCTCCACATTGCTACGGACCCCAAGGGGAGGCTTACCTGTTGGCTGGTGAATTGTGTCCCCGGCTCCCAAGAGAGGAGGTGGATAAAGTGGTGGCCGCGGAGTCGCTGTTGGCTTCCTCGACGGGGGGAGTCCGGGGGAGAAGGTCGGGACGGCCTAGCTGGGAACCTCAGGAAGAGAAGAAATAAATATATAGTTAGACCTGGAATGAGCAAATGCCACCTCTCTGGGTGTTTCGGACTTACAGGAAACAACCAGGGCCAGCTAATCACCTCCCAAATAATAATAATAATAATAATAATAATAATAATAATAATCTTTATTTATATCTCGCCACCATCTCCCCAAGGGATTTGGAGTGGCTTACATGAGGCCAAACCCAGTAACACATCAATAAACAAAAACAATAAATACAATACAATTATTATAAATCACATATAAACAATAACCAATAAACAAACAATAACCAATAAATAAAGGATTCCTCCAGGCAGGAGGCAGCCAAGCCTTGACGCTGCAAGGCATTTCATGCAATATAATAATATATTATTATAATTATATATTTATATTACATGTAATATTACTAATAATATTACAATATAATGGTATAGTAAATATAGTAATATGTAATACTGATATTGTGCTATGCTAATAATATAATATATTGTGTGTTTGTGTGTGTGTATGTGTATTGTAAGCCGCTCTGAGTCCCCTTCGGGGTGAGAAGAGCGGCATAGAAATGTCGTAAATAAATAAATAAGAGTCCCGCAACGTCGCATTATATTATTATCTTTATTATTACATATAATATTTACAATATATTGTATATAATAAGTTTTAGTACTGGTCACGTAAACGTCCGTGTTCATCATATGTTTTGTGGTTATTCTGTTGCTCATCTGATATAGTATACCCACATTATTATCTTGTAGTCGGTATCAGTACTGATTACTATCTGGTGATTATACATTATATTGTAGTTTTATTCTCTATCTTTAGTTATATAATATATCCGTGCTTTAGTGGGTGGGTGGTGTTCTTCCGCACAAGGATCCCACTTTGCTGCCGTTCGTGCGCTGACTTGGCACCTCAATGATGTCATGACACGTGAAGGGCCCCCCGACGGACTTTTGTTGTGGCAGAGTCAGACCAAGGCTTGATCCCTGGGGAAAGGCTGCACCACTCCATATCCTTGCCAGAACTAATGGATTCCAGTCACCAGGATTGTCGTATGCATTGGAAGATGACTCCATGCGGAAGATTGCCAAAATCTTACTGGGGGAGGCCAGATTGTAAGTTCACTAGCCCCAGATGTATTACGGCCGCTTAGCTCAACCGAGGAGCTATGGCCGACGGTACTGGAGGTGAACGACGAATCCGATGCTCTAAAGATCAACACACCATAGGAACCTGGAATGTAAGATCTATGAGCCAGGGCAAATTGGATGTTGTTATTGGTGAGATGTCAAGACTAAGATAGACATTCTGGGGGTCAGCGAACTGAAATGGACTGGAATGGGCCACTTCACATCAGATGAGCACCAGATCTACTACTGCGGACAAGAGGAACATCGAAGAAATGGAGTAGCCTTCATAATTAATAAGAAATTCGCTAAAGCGGTGCTTGGATACAACCCAAAAAATGACAGAAAGATCTCAATTCGAGTGCAAGGAAAGCCTTTCAACATTACAGTGATCCAATATACGCCCCAACCACAGCTACTGAAGAAGCAGAAGTAGATCAGTTCTATGAGGATCTGCAGGACCTACTGGATAATACACCAAAAGAGACATTATTTTCATTACAGGAGACTGGAATGCCAAGGTGGGAAGTCAAATGACAACTGGGATCACAGGCAAGCATGGTCTGGGAGAACAAAATGAAGCGGCGCAGGCTGATAGAATTTTGCCAGGAAAACTCACTGTGTATAACAAACACTCTCTTCCAACAACTTAAAATACAGCTCTATGCATGGACTTCACCAGATGGGCAACAGCGAAATCAGATTGACTACATCCTTTGCAGGGTGGAGGACATCCATCTAGTCGGTGAAAACAAGACTTGGAGCTGACTGTAGTTCAGATCACGAACTTCTTATTGCACAATTTAGAATAAAGCTAAAAAGATCAGGGAAAACACACAGACCAGTTAGATATGATCTTGCTAACATTCCTAGTGAATATGCAGTGGAAGTGAAGAACAGATTTAAAGGACTAGATTTAGTAAATATAGTCCCAGAAGAACTATGGACAGAAGTCTGCGGCATTGTTCAGGAGGCGGCAACAAAGTACATCCAAAGAAAAAGAAAACCAAGAAGGCAAAATGGTTGTCTGCTGAGACACTGGAAGTAGCCCAAGAAAGGAGGAAAGCAAAAGGAAACAGTGATAGGGGGAGATATGCCCAATTAAATGCACAATTCCAGAGGTTAGCTAGAAGAGATAAGGAACTATTTTTAAAACAATGCATGGAAGTGGAAGAAGACAACAGAATAGGAAGGACAAGAGACCTCTTCCAGAAAATTAGAAACATTGGAGGTAAATTTCAGGCAAAAATTGGTATGATAAGAAACGAAGATGGCAGGGACCTAACAGAAGCTGAAGAGATCAAGAGAAGGTGGCGAGACTATACAGAAGATCTGTATAGGAAGGATAATAATATTGAGGATAGTTTTGACGGTGTGGTGAATGAATTAGAACCAGACATCCTGAGGAGTGAGGTTGAATGGGCCTTAAGAAGCATTGCTAACAACAAGGCAGCAGGAGATGACGGGATCCCAGCTGAACTGTTTAAAATCTTAAAAGATGATGCTGTCAAGGTGATGCATGCCATATGCCAGCAAATATGGAAAACACAAGAATGACCATCAGACTGGAAAAAATCAACTTATATCCCCATACCAAAAAAGGGAAATGCGAAAGACTGCTCAAACTTCCGTACAGTGGCCCTTATTTCACATGCCAGTAAGGAATGCTCAAGATCCTGCAAGGAAGACTCAATACATGGAGCGAGAGTTGCCAGATGTACAAGCTGGGTTTAGAAAAGGTAGAGGAACGAGAGACCAAATTGCCAATATCTGCTGGATAATGGAGAAAGGCAGGGAGTTTCAGAAAAACATCTACTTCTGCTTCATTGACTATTCTAAAGCCTTTGACTGTGTGGATCATAATAAATTGTGGCAAGTTCTTTGTGGGATGGGCATCCCAAGCCACCTTGTCTCTCTCCTGAGGAATCTGTACAAGGACCAAGTAGCAACAGTAAGAACTGACCACGGAACAACAGACTGGTTCAAGATTGGGAAAGGCGTACGGCAAGGCTGCATCCTCTCACCCAACCTTTTTAACTTGTATGCAGAACACATCATGCAATGTGCGGGGCTTGAGGAATGCAAAGCTGGGGTGAAAATTGCTGGAAGAAACATTAACAACCTCAGATATGCAGATGACACCACTCTGATGGCCGAAAGCGAGGAGGAGCTGAGGAGCCTTCAAATCAAAGTGAAAGAAGAAAGCAAAAAAGCTAGGGTGCAGTTAAACATCAAAAAAACCAAGATTATGGCAACGAATGATTGACAACTGGGAAATAGAGGGAGAAAACGTGGAGGCAGTGACAGACTTTGTATTTCTAGGTGCAAAGATTACTGCAGATGCAGACTGTGGCCAGGAAATCAGGAGACGCTTACTTCTTGGGAGGAGAGCAATGTCCAGTCTCGATAAAATAGTGAAGAGTAGAGACATCAGACTGCCAACAAAGATCCGCCTAGTCAAAGCCATGGTATTCCCTGTAGTCACCTACGGATGTGAGAGCTGGACCTTAGGGAAGGCTGAGCGAAGGAAGATCGATGCTTTTGAACTGTGGTGTTGGAGGAAAGTGCTGAGAGTGCCTTGGACTGCGAGAAGATCCAACCAGTCCATCCTCCAGGAAATAAAGCCGACTGCTCACTGGAAAGATACTAGAGACAAAGTTGAAGTACTTTGGCCACATCATGAGACAGGAAAGCCTAGAGAAGACAATTATGCTGGGAAGTAGAAGGAAAAAGGAAGAGGGGCCGACCAAGGGCAAGATGGATGGATGGCATCCTTGAAGTGACTGGACTGACCTTGAGGAGCTGGGGGTGGTAACGGCCGACAGGGAGCTCTGGCGTGGGCTGGTCCATGAGGTCACGAAGAGTCGGAGACGACTGAACGAATGAACAACATATATATATTGTAAGCCACTTTGAGTCCCCTTTGGGGTGAGAAGGGCGGCATAATGTCGTAAATAAATAAATATATTTATATATTACATGTAATATTACTAATAACATTACAATATAATGATATAATACAATATAAGTAATATTTAATACTATGCTGATAATTGTAAAGGCAGGCTGCCAGTAGCAGCAGTAGGGACGTCACTGATTTATCAGGGTCTCCTACTATTTGTAATGGATTTATAAAATTGATAACCCAGCTAATAGCTTGTAATATTTTGTTGGTCTTTCTTCAATGTGTAGCGCGGCTTGACTTGAAAGTATTCAAAACAGAGATTTGGCTTTAAGAGAAACTGTAACAAGTTTATTGAAGTATAGAAGAAGCTTGATGGTTTCAATGTTTCTTAACTCCTAGAAGCACATTTCTTTAGAGGTTACATTTATAACATTTCATAAAACAACTCTTGAGAGGACTGTTCCTTCCACTAAACAGGTTTTTAACTTATTTTTCCTCAAACTGTGTTTCTTTCCTTAACAGATTACAGGTACTAGCTTATTCTTTCCTTGTGTTATTTCTGTTGCAGTAAAGATGCTTATTGGCTTTCTCTCCCCCTTTTTGCTCACACACTAACTACTAATATAAATAAGTCAACCTGACCTATCTAAACCTCACAGACTAAAAGTCTAAACATTCCTGATTCTCAACACAGTAGAATCAGCCTTTCCCTGTAGTTCCCTGACTACAGACTGCTTTCCTGATCCTCAATACAGTAGAACCAGCCTTTCCCTGTAGTTCTCAGACTACAGACTCCCTTCCTGGTTCTCAACACTGTAGAACCAGCCTTCCTTGCAGCTCTTAGACGACAGTCTGACCATTTAAAAATGCCTGCCCTGACAAGTGGCAGTTGGCTCCTCCCCTTTTTAAATGGCAACCCACCTCAGAGTGAGCTGACCTGGCTACCATCCCCCCAGTTGTGCTATTTTAAATACTTACCCTTTTAAACACCTATCTATAATTATACACAACTATAGGTTAAAATTCACACTTCACCACAATAATATAATATATTGTATGTATATATATTTTGTAAGCCACTTTGAGCCCCCTTTGGGGTGAGAAGGGCGGCATAATGTCGTGAATAAATAAATAAACAATATATTTATATTATATATCTATATTACATGTCATATTACTAATAATATTACAATATAATGGTATAATACAATATTTAATACTGATATTGCACTATGCTAATAATATAATATATTGTATGTATATATATATTTGTAAATGTCATAAAAAAATTCAATACTAATCAAGCTGATCAATTGCAGTGTTCATACGTGCCTCAAGCAGACAAGAGTTCTTTCTCCCACCCTGGACATCATTCCACAGATCTATAAATCCCACTTGCCTGGTTTCCAACAGATCTCCCAACCTCTGAGGTTGCCTAACATAGATGTGGGCAAAATGTCAGGAGAGAATGCCACACAGCCCAGAAAACTCACAGCAACCCAGCTGGTGGCTGCTCCAGAGAACTTTGGAACTCCCTCCCAGTGAAGGCGTGAATAGAAATAGTTCCCTTCACTAGGAAGGCCCCAATCCTGGCTGGCCTTTTGCAAGCAGATTCAGCCATTTCTTTGCTACTCACCTGGCTCGACATCAGCTTCCATCGTGACCTGCACTTTGGTTTCGCATAAGCCTTGGGCCTGGGAAGGGGGTCCGGCTTGGCCTGGCCGCCGAGGGGGAGCCGCGCCCGACCGGCTTTTTTTTGAAGGAGAAGACTTTACTTTAGAAAAGAAGAAAAAACAAATTCAGACACCTCAGAAATCACTTTATTGGCAGCTTTTACTGATCAAGACAAGCAAGGCCAATACCATGAAGCACAAAACATACATCTCTCCCTAAAGTCCAGTGGTTTTCAACCTGTGGGTCCCCAGATGATTGGCCTTCAACTCCCAGAAATCCTTGTCAGCACCAATTGTGTTTAAGTGCAGGCCAAGGTCTTTAGGCACTGCACCCAGTGTGCCGATCACCACTGGGACCACCTTGACTGGCTTGTGCCAGAGTCTTTGCAGTTCGATCTTTAAATCCTCATATCATGTCAGTTTTTCCAGTAGTTTCTCTTCAATCCTGCTGTCATCTGGGATTGCAACATTGACAATCCATAATAATAATAATAATAATAATAATAATAATAATAATAATTTAATAATAATTATTATTATTATAGCAACCCAATCCTTCTATGTTTGAGAAAACAATTCTAAGAATTATTATTATTATTAGATGTCCCCTGCCACACGTTGCGGTGGCCCAGTCTGTGTATATGTGTTTTGTGTGTGTATATATTTGTGTATATGTGTGTTTGTGTATATATGTGGTTTTGCGCATGCATTGCAATGTATTTTTTATTTTTGGCCTTTTAAATGCCTTCCGCTGTGTTTTTCAGTGTTTTTATGAGTGATGGTCACTCATTGGCCTGATAGGTGTCTTGTGTCCTAATGTGGTGTCAATTTGTCCAGTGGTTTTTGAGTTATGTTAATCCCACAAAGGAACATTACATTTTTATTTATATAGATTATTATTATTATTATTATTATTATTATTATTATTATATCCTGCTTTTTCTCTCTAAAAGGGGACTCAAGGCATCCCACAATAAAGCTAATACAGTGCAGTTAAAAACCTAAATATATATAAATTAAATATTAACAGTATTAAAAAAAATAAAAACTTTTAAAACCAATTTAATGCTGTGGTTTGGCCAGCACCAAAACAAAACCAGAGTTGGGGGTTTTCAAGGAAATCTGTAACTCTTTGGGGAGTCTGTGTTTTAAAAGGATGTGTTGATACAATAATATTAATATTAATAATAATAATAATAAACCTTATTTATACCCCGCTACCATCTCCCGGAGGACTCGGTGCGGCTTACAAGAGGCCGAGCCCAAATACATCAATAAAAACAACATAGCAATACATACAATAAATAAACTCATAAACAAAGCAATAAAGAATAACAGTAACACCACAACGCATTAAAACAACCACAGAGAGCCCTCTAATGCTCCCAAGGGCCATGTCCTGAATGTCAATAATCATGTATGTTGAAAAGTAACTCACAAGGAAGAAGAAAAGCAACTTACAAGGGATCTTCTTGAACACCACGTTGCACATGAAGCGCTGAAACCGTTCTGCATAGAAGCTGGGCCTGTGGACCGACACCGTGTCCTGAAGAGAGACACACAACTGGAGTCACGCTGAGTAAGATGCTTATCGTCTCTTTCTCTCTCTCATACATATACACATGCATGCATACATACTTCCTCTCACCTCAGGAGAACACCCTTAGGCACCCCCCCCCCCAAATAAATAGGAAATGAATGGCTCACCCCGTCGTGAACGAGTGCTTTCCACGAATGCTCAAGCTTTTTAATGAACCTGAAAGATGTCAAAAGTGAGAAACGGGTCAGATTCACAAACAAAAGAGACGGAACCATAGCCTATTTCTTGTAAGTTGCTTTGCGTTCAATACTTTGGGAAAAAAGAAGGGATACACACACACACACACACACACACACACACACACACATATAATTTTAAAAATCTGTGATGATTTTAAATTAATGTAATGTTTTGATAGTTTAATGCCTTTCTAACATGTGGCTGTTCTACACCATGTTTGTTTCAAATGCTGTAAGCTGCTTTGAATCCTGAACTAGGAAAAAAGGATATAGATATATTGTTTATTATTATTATTATTATTATTATTATTATTATTATTATACTGATACAAAAACACAGCATGTCACAGCAAACGAGATATATATGCTGGATTTCGTATCACAATTATATTATTATTATTATTATTATTATTATTATTATTATTATTGACACAAAACCACAGTATGTCGCAGCATACAAGATCTATATGCTGGATTTCATATCTCAATTATTACTATTACTATTACTGTGAATAAAGTTTATTGCACTAGCCATAGGCCATGACATCAAAAACATACAACCTTTATAAACACATTAAATACAATCCAATGTTAACCAAAACCCGTTCAAGATTTAAAAGACTAGTACTTTAAAATTTTGCTGGCAGAAACCTAGCAAAAACCGCGTCTGGTCTGTGTCCTCCCTAGCCATCTCCCTTTCCCTATCTGGTCTCCAGCGAGGATTTTACTACTCTGTCTCTGATCTTTTGGGCTGCGATTGCAAATGTGGCTACTTTTAGTGTTATATTTTTGTCATAATCTGCTAGTAAGGCACCAATCACGGCAGATTCTTGCCATGCTGCCCTTTCTTCAAGGAGTGTTCCCAGGAGATTTTTTCTGGGGTCATTATACAAAGGGCAGTGTAATAGATAGTGTGTTAGATCTTCTTTTTCCCCAGCGCCACAAATGCAAAGCCTTTGGGCATGGGGGATCCCTCTGTATCTCCCTTCTAGCCAGTTTGAGGGCATTGTTTGGAAGCGCAGGGCTGCATTACTATTACTACTATTATTTTACTGATACAAAAACACAGTATGTCACAGAATACAAGATCTATATGCTGGATTTCATATCTCAATTATTACTATTACTATTGCCACTATTATTTTACTGATACAAAAACACAGTATGTCACAGCAAACAAGATATATATGCTGGATTTTGTATTATTATTATTATTATTATTATTTTACTGATACAAAAACATAGCATGTCACAGCAAACGAGATATATATGATGGATTTCGTATCACAATTATTATTATTATTGACACAAAACCACAGTATGTCGCAGCAAACGAGATCTATATGCTGGATTTCATATCACAAAACCACAAGTCGAACACTTCCCAAGCATCTAGGACTGTGTGGTGTATTATTATTATTATTATTATTATTATTATTATTATTATTGACACAAAAGCACTGTATGTCACAGCAAACGAGATCTCTGTGCTGGATTTCGTATCACAAAATTACAAGTCGAACACTTCCCAAGCATCTAGGATTATGTGATGTATTTTCGAATGATGTGCACAGATCCAAGTCAGGTGGCCTTTTGCAGTTGACAGATCATGATGTTGTCAATGTTTATTGTTTCCAAATGCCGTCTGAGATCTGTTGGCACGGCACCCAGTGCGCCAATGACCACTGGGACCACCTGGACTGATTTATGCCCTCAAGACCCAAACAGGGAAAAAAGGCAGGATGTAAATACACGTAACAGTGATTCATGGATTGGAAAGCAGCGGATGCCCAATGCAACAGTAAGATGCCAACCAACCCCAAAAACTTCCTACCTATACGACTGCAGGACGTCTATGATCCCCACGTAGATCAGCAGCCGCTCTCCTTTGGCGTTCCGTCCGGGAATCCCTCCCATCCTAGATGAAAGACAGAAGATACATGGGACCACAAATCCCCTTCGAAAGCAATAATTCCTCCACCTTGACAAGCAAAACCCACCAACTTGGGTCACAATCGACAAGCTATTCCCAAAAAGCACCCCGGACTTACTGGTCGTCGGTCTCGATGGTGCCGCCTCTCCTCGCCTCGCCCTGAATGGACTCCATGGCCGTCGAGTACAAGGCTTTCTGGGCCGCTGGCCGGCGAGTGTCCGCTTGCGAGGCCCCGTCCACTACGGCCCGTTCTCGATGAGCCTGGTCCAGGTTGTGGACGGCCACCAGCAAGCTGTAATCCATGATTTTGAAGCTCTGCAAAACCTGGAATTGGAAAGAAAGCCCAACCAGTCAGATGCTGTAGTGAGGGAGAGAGAGATTTTCCTCTTTAAAAACCTCTTTACTACCTTATACTGATTTAGTTTCTTCTTTTATATTGGCTGGGACTTTCTGTGTGCCGTTAAACCTTTGTACTTTATATCACAGGCAATGAAACACTCTTGTGTATAACCAAGTAACACAGTTTCTATATAACTTCTGGCTCCAATGCTTGTGGTTACGTTTGTGTTTTGTTGCAATCTTGAGGCTTACAATCAGTATCATTTACTTGGTTAACTTTCCTGAATAAACTATCAAAGTTTCACATTCACAAACATGTTACTTGCTTTGCACACTCTTGGCTGAATTATATTTTGAACTAAGGCAACACTAGCCTTCTTTATGTTCCTTAAAACTCGAGCTCTATTTAACTAACTGCTTCTCTATATCAGAAGTCTTTAACACATCTTCATAACTGCTTATTTCTATCGGGCACACAAAAAACCAACTCTCCTCTTCACACACAGATTCCTAACTGTCATTTTCAAACTCCCTCACTCTAACTACCTCTTTCAGAACCTTGGCTCCGCCCCTTTGGAGTGTTCAGCTCTTCTCTCCCCAACTGTCATTTTGGCCTAACAGCCTTTAATTAATTTAGGCATCAGTAGGTTAAATGTTTTTGAATATTTACATAAAACTGTAATTCAAGATAAGTCTGTCCAACTCTGATTAAACCATCATTCTAACCTTCTTCAATGTAAATATGCTTACATGTCCTCCAATAATAATAGAGTAAAATAATAATAATAGAGTAAAATAATAAATGTAATAATAACAACAATAATAAAATAATAAATGTAATAATAACATTAATCTATATAAATAAAAATGTAATGTTAGTTTTTGGGATTAACAGAACTCAAAAACAACTGGACGTATTGACACCAAATTTGGACATAAAACACCTAACAACCCAATGTATGTCCTTCACTCAAAAATTTGATTTGTCATTTGGAAGTTGTAGTTGCTGGGATTTATAGTTCACCTACAATCAAAGAGCATTGTGGACCCCACCATGGATGGAACTGAACCAAACTTGGCACACAGAACTCCCATGACCAATAGAAAATACTGGAAAGGTTTGGTGGGCATTGACCTTGAGTTTTGGAGTTGTAGTTCACCTACATCCAGAGAACACTGTGGACTCAAACAATGATGGATCTGGACCAAACTCTACACGAATACTCAATACGCCCAAATGTGAACACTGGCGGAGTTTGGGGGAAATAGAATCTTGACATTTGGGAGTTGTAGTTGCTTGGATTTATAGTTCACATACAATCACAGAGCATTCTGAACCTCACCAATGATAGAATTGGGCTAAACCTCCCACACAGAACCGCCATGTGGGCCACAGCAACGCGTGGCAGGGAATGGCTAGTAAAATAATAAAATAAATAATAATGTAATAATAATAATAACAACAACAAAGTAAAATAATAAATAACACTGACTCAAGTATAAGCCGGGGGAGACTTTTTCAGCCTAAAAAAAGGACTGAAAAACTAGGTTTATACTCGAGTATATACAGTATGTGCAGTGTGCATAGGAATTCATTCACGTTTCTTTCAAATTATAATCTGGCCCTCCAACTGTTTGAGGGACTGTGACCTGGTCCTCTGCTTAAAAAGTTTGAGGGTGCCCTTGACAGGGCCTCACTTACCAAGCAGTCCCTCTGCAGGGTCTTGCACATGGCGCTGTACATGTCGGCGTCCAGGAACAGCCCCTCGGGGACGTCCTGCATGAAGTCCAGGTCCTTGAAGGTGGGGAAGACCTTCTCGCGCTCCTTTTGCGAGGCCCGGCGCTTGTAGGTGGAGCCCTTCAGGTCGTACTTTTGGTGCATGCGGACCGAGCGCGGAAGCAGGTTGTTCATCACCACAATCCGGATGTTTTTGCCCCCGGCCTGGACGCAGTAGAGGCCGTAGAACTTGGGCAGCAGGGTCCGGGGGTTTTGGTTCAAGTTCTGGGGTAAAGGGGAGGAAAGGACACAAGGGCTTGTCCTGAGCAGCAACTAGGACGAATGCAATCAGCTACGTTACTTAATCTTAATCAATCGGAGAGCTAGGCCCAAACTAACTAAATAACCCAGGCACTGCCAGGTCCCCAAGCTAGTCTATATAAATAAAAATGTAATGTTCGTTTGTGGTATCCACAGAACTCAAAAACCACTGGGGCAATTGGCACCAAATTTGGACACAAGACACCTAACAACCCAATGTATGTTCTCCACTCAAAAAAAAAATATGATTTTGTCATTTGGGAGTTGTAGTTGCTGGGATTTATAGTTCACCTACAATCAAAGAGCATTCTGAACCCACCAACGATGGAATTGAACAAACTTGGCACACAGTTCTCCCATGACAAACAGAAAATACTGGTGGGCAGTGTCCTTTGGTTTTGGAGTTGTAGTTCACCTACATCCAGAGGTCACTGTGGACTCAAACAATGATGGATCTGAACCAAACTCCACACTAATACTCAATATGCCCAAATGTGAACACTGGTGGAGTTTGGGAAAAATAGAATCTTGACATTTGGGAGTTGTAGTTGCTGGGATTTATAGTTCACCTACAATCACAGAGCATTCTGAACCCCACCAATGGTGGAATTGAACCAAACTTGGCACACAGTTCTCCCATGATCAACAGAAAATACTGGAAGGGTTTGGTGACCAGTGTCCTTCGGTTTTGGAGTTGTAGTTCGCCTACATCCAAAGATCACTGTGGAATCAAACAATGATGGATCTGGACCAAACTCTACACGAATACTCAATATGCCCAAATGTGAACACTGGTGGAGTTTGGGGAAAATAGAATCTTGACATTTGGGAGTTGTACTTGCTGGGATTTATAGTTCACCTACAATCACAGAGCATTCTGAACACCACCAATGATAGAATTGGGCCAAACCTCCCACACTGAACTCCCATGTGGGCCACAGCAACGCGTGGCAGGGGACGGCTAGTAGCCAATAAAATTCAAATGCACAGGTATAGTCCATAGGAAAGGCATCTAGGAGTAGTAGTAGATCACAAGCTGAACATAAGTCAACAGTGTGATGCAGCAGGCAAAATATCCAATGTGTATCAAAAGGCAGTGTTTCTCAACCTGAGAGTCGGGACACATGTGGGGGTCACGAGGGGGTTTCAGAGGGGTTGCAAAGACCATCAGAAAGTAATATAATATAATGTAATAAAATATAATATATTGTATATACAGATAATAATGATAATATTGTAATGTAATATATATATAAAAATGCTCTGTGCATAATTAGTACCTTAAAAACAAAAGAACCAATGAACGAAATCCCACCAAATTTGGCAACAAAACATCTCACAATACAAAGAGTGACCATCACTCAAAAAATTATGATTTTGTCATTTGGAAGTTGTAGTTGCTGGGATTTATAGTTCACCAACAATCAAAGAGCATTCTGAAATCCACCAACGAAGGAACTGAACCAAACTTGGCACACAGAACTCCCATGACCAACAGAAAATACCAGAAGGGTTTTGGTGGGCATTGACCTTGAGTTTGGGAGTTGTAGTACACCTACATCCAGAGAGCACTGTGGATTCAAACAATTATGGATCTGGACCAAACTTGGCACAAATATTCCATATGAACACAGATGGAGTTTGGGGGAAATAGACCTTGACATTTGGGATTTGTAGTTCACCTACAATCAAAGAGAATTCTGAATCCCACAAACGACAGAATTGGGGCACATTTCGCACACAGAACCCCCAGGACCTACAGAAACTACTTAAGGCCATCCAGTCCAACTCTCTTCACCAGGGCAAGAAAATGTAATCAGAGCCCTCCTGACAAAGAGCCATCCAGCCATAGATATAGATAGATAGAGAGATAGATATGATTCACACACACACACACACACACACGCACAGATATAGTATCATAGATTTGAAAGGGACCCCTAAAGAAGGACAATGATATGTTGCATGTCCCAGAGTAGGCAAACCAGACACTCTCCACATCAACACTGACAAAGTAACAACAAGAAATTCTGTTTACCCACAAGCATAAAGAAATTACATATATTAGAAACCAACACTTTCTCATTACTTCATTTTCCAGATCACCAGACTGGGCCACAGCAACGCGTGGCAGGGGACAGCTAGTACAATATAATACTACTACTAAAAATATATTATATAGTTTATATTACATGTAATATTACTAATAATATTACAATATAATGGCATAGTACAATATAGTAATATATAATACTGATACTGTACTATGCTAATAATATAATATATTGTATGCTTATATATCTTGTAAGCTACTCTGAGTTCCCTTTGGGGTGAGAAGGGCAGCATATAAATGTTGTAAATAAATAATAACTAATAACTAAATAATTATAGCCACCTTGATTAGCAATGAATAGCTTTGCAGCTTCAAAGCTGCTCCCTGCCTGGGGGAATCCTTTGCTGGGAGGACATTGCACAGATCTATAAACCCAACTAGTCTAGTTCCCAACAGACCTCAGAAAGATATGTTTTCTGATTTATTTTATTAATTTATTTTAAAAATTTATATGCCGTCCTTCTCACCCCGAAGGGGACTCAGAGCGGCTTACAAGATATATATACATACAATATATTATATTATTAGCACAGTACAATATCAGTATTAAATATTACTATATTGCACTATACCATTATATTGTAATTTTTTTAATATACTTTTTATTACATACATTTTCTCTTTAATTATACATAAAAACAGGATAAGGGTATAAGGTGGTATTGGGCCGAATGTATACATAGACATTTTATACGGGGGGGGGGGGGTCCAATATTATTCGAACACTTCCCAAGCGTCTAGGACTCTGTGATGTATTTTCGAATGTATTTTCGAATGATGCGCGCAGAATTATTATTATTATTATTATTATTATACATCACACAGTCCTAGACACTTGGGAAGTCTTCGATTTGTGATTTTGTGATATGAAATCCAGTATATAGATCTCATTTGCTGTGGCATAGTGTGTTTTTGTGTTAGTAAAATAATAATAATAATTACAACAACAATCTTTATTAATACTCTGCCCCATCTCATTATTATTATTATTATTATTATTATTATTATTATTAAGGATTCCTTACTTAAGAAACTATTGTGAAATTCATGGTGTCGCCATGGATTGACAGGTAACTTGAAGGTACACAATCCAGAAAGCTAGCAACCTAATTTCAGAAGAAGGCCTTGTTCTCTGTTATTCATCCATTGGGATTACAAAACTCCTTCAGGTTCATCTGATCCCCATCCGTCCTCTTCCAGAGCCCAAAATCAACGCAAAGGCCTATGTCACACCACCCACACATTCTGGAATTGATGTACTTGCAAACTATGACTCAGGTAATAACCATACCTGGCAATCCTTTCCAAGGAACCTGCAACTTTAGTTATCATCACCCTTCTTAGTAGCAGTTACGTGGCTTATTTGAATGCCGCATCTCATCGTGATTGAAGAACCCACGGGATTAACCCGACTCCCCCTCGGATGACTCACCATATAGTAACCGGGCAGCAGCTTCTGTAAGAATTCGGCCTCTTTGTGCTGAACCGTTTTGATGATGAATTCGTCGTCGCTGGAGACGTAGAAGATGGAGCCGCTGGCGCCCGAGTTGGAGAGCTCGATGAGGGGCTCACTGCAGAGGGAGCACTGGGGAGGAAGGATACAAGGAGGGGTAACACCCAATTGACACATAAAGGCAGATCAGATAGCACACCAACTCCTGAAGAACGGGAAACCCAACCTTGCCACCAAAGTAGGAAAGAAACCAATAGCCAGACAACAAGAGATTGAGAACAACAACCTTCATGAACCCTTTACATCTACTGAATTGGACATGGCTCTCAATAAATGAATGGCAAAGCAGCTGGCTTGGATGATCTACAGATGGAACAAATCAAGAACTTTGGTCCAAAAGCAAGGCGCTGGCTGCTGGAGCTGATGAACAACTGCACTGCATCCTGTCAGATCCCCAAAATCTGGAGGAAAGCAAGAGTCATCGCCATCTTGAAGCCAGGCAAGGACCGTCATGACCCAAAAAGCTACAGACCCATCTCCCTGCCTACAGATTCCTGACAGATCCCCAAAATCTGGAGGAAAGCAAGAGTCATCGCCATCTTGAAGCCAGGCAAAGACCGTAATGATCCAAAAAGCTACAGACCAATCTCCCTGTTGTGCCACCTCTACAAAGTTCTGGAGAGACTTATTTTGCATAGAATTATGGAAAAAATAGACCCCTGTCTGATCCCACAGCAAGCTGGCTTCAGGAAAGGCAAAAGCTGCACATCGCAAGTGCTGAACCTGACTCAGCACATAGAAGATGGCTTTGAAAGGCAGCAGATCACAGGAGCTGTCTTCATAGACCTGTCAGCAGCCTATGATACTGTGAACCACCACTGCCTCCTCCTGAGAAAAATGTATAATATCACAAAGGACTACCACCTCACCCGCCTCATAGGAAACCTGCTACAAAACAGGAGCTTTTTTGTTGATGTCCGGGGCCAGAGAAGCAGATGGAGGAAACCGAAGAACGGCCTGCCTCAGGAGAGCGTGCTTGCTCCATCCATGTTCAACATCTACACAAATGACCAGCCACTGCCAGAAGAGACAGAGAGTTTCATCTATGCTGATGATCGTGCCATCACCGCTCAAGCAGGGAGCTTTGAGATGGTTGAACAGAAGCTCTCCAAAGCTCTAGGTGCTCTTACTGCCTATTACAGGGAAAACCAGCTGATCCCTAATCCATCTAAAACACAGACATGTACTTTTCACCTTAAGAACAGACAAGCATCCCGAGCTCTGAGGATGACCTGGGAAGGAATCCCACTGGAGCATTGCAGCGCACCCAAATCCCTGGGAGTCACTCTGGACCGTGCTCTGACCTACAAGAAGCACTGTCCCCTGGTCCCCTCTCTCTTCACTCTGGCCCAGAGCGGCAGTTGGTGCTGAGGAGAGGGGTCCCCAACTAATGACATATGCAGGAGACAAGATGGAACTGTCCCCTGGCCCCCTCTCTTTTCACTCTGGCCCAGAGCGGCAGTTGGTACTGGGGGGAGGGGTCCTAATAATAATAATACTTATTTTGTTACCCGCCTCCCCTCGGTTTGGGTCCAGGTTTTGCATGGTTGCGCCAAACTGGTGTCTTCAGAGGATAAACTGATACCAAATCAGCGTTTAAAACCATTTCATTTCAATATGGGGTTCAGAGTTTCCTCGTGAAGGGTGGAAAAACTGCACCAGAAAGCGTCAGATCGAAAGATGCAGCTCCCCAGAGTTTCAGACACTCTGTTTACACCGGAGATTTTCTAAATACAAAAACAGATTCCTATCCAATAGGACTCACCAGGTAGTCATCTGGCCGGATCCCGAAGAGCTCACGGAAATAGCGGAAGGCGACAGGGGCGTAAGTCTTGAAGCGGAAATCATTGTAGTGGTGCGCTGGGGTCAGGTTGCTGCCTTCACTGAAAGGGAAGGAAAGGTACCAAATTCCATTTAAATGAATTGAAATAATTACGGGTGGAAGTGATTGTTGGCTAGGTGTAGAATACCTCGTATCAGATTGCTTCAGTGCAAGGCTTGGAAAGTTATATTTCATAGCAAAAGAATGCATATCTTCATCACATTTTGCCCCAATTCCTGTAAAATTAGTTCAGCTGGATTTGGTAGCAAAATCCATATTTATTTAATTAATTAATTCATTTAAAACATTTATATTCCACCCTTCTCATCCCGCAGGGGACTCAGAGTGAAGCACAACATATATACGGCAAACATTCAATGCCAGAACATACAATAAATTATAAGCATGCATAAACATTAACGTAACATTAACAATGCCGGAACATACAATAAGTTATAAACATACATAAACATTAAAATCAGCCATATATATCTGTGTATGTATTATTATTTATTTATTATTATATTATATAATATTAATAATTCTATTGTGTGTGTGTGTGTGTGTGTGTATATATATACACACACACACACACAAAGTGAAAGGTTTCCCCTTGACATTAAATCTAGTTGTGTCAGTATCTAGGGGTTGGTGCTCATCTCCATTTCTAAGCCAAAGAGCCAGCGTTGTCCAAACACACCTCCAAGGTCATGTGGTCAGTATGACTGCATGGAGCACTGTTACCTTCCCACAGAAGCGGTACCTATTGATCTACCCACATTTGCATGTTTTCAAACTGCTAGGTGTGCAGAAGCCGAGGCTAACAGCGGGAGCTCATCCCACTCCCCAGATTCGAACCGCCGACCGTTCGGTTAGCAAGTTCAGCACCTCAGCACTTTAAACCGCTGCGCAACCAGGGGCTCTACTGTATATATACACATGTAATTATGATTATGTTTATTTATATCCCACTTCTTCTCTCCACAAGGAGACTCAAAGTGGCTAACATTAATAGCACTGCAATATAATTTAAAATATACAAATATTAAATCAGTATTACACATCATTAATATTAAAAATCAATTTACTTAAATCCACGAGGACATTAAAAAACCACATGATCTTAAAAAACCTTCATTTTTAAAAACCTGCCTGAATAAAAAGGTTTTTAATCTATATAAATAAAAATGTAATGTTCGTTTGTGGGATTAACATAACTCAAAAAACACTGGATGAATTGACACCAAATTTGGACACAAGACACCTATCAGGCCAATGAATGATCATCACTCATAAAAACACTGAAAAACACAGTGGAAGGGACTTAAACCCCCCCCCCCAAAAAAAACCCCGAAATTGTGTTTTGGGGCTTCGGCCTGTGTAAGCCGCATCGAATCCTTCGGGAGATGCTAGTGGAGTACAAATAAAGTTATAATAATAATAATAATAATAATAAATGGAGAGGAAAGAAAGAGGTAGAGAAGTAAGAAAAGAGAGAAAGGAAGGGAAAGAAAAAGTGGGGAAGGAAGGAAAGAAGGGAGGGAAAGAAGGAAGGAAAGAGAAAAGGAAAGAAAAAAAAGGAAGGAATGAAAGTGGGAGGGAGGGAAGGAAGGAAGGAAGGAAAGAAGGAAGGAAGGAAGGAAGGAAGGAAGGAAGGAAGGAAGGAAGGAAGGAAGGAAGGAGAAAAGGAAAGAAAAAAAGGAAGGAATGAAAGCGGGAGGGAAGGAAGGAGAGAATGAAGGAAAGAAGGAAGGAAGGAGACATAGGAAAGGATGGAGAGAAGGAGGGAGGGAAAGAGGGAAGGAAGGAGAGAAGAAAGGAAGGAAAGAAATAGGTAGAGAAGGAAGGAAGGAGAGAAAGAAGAAGGGACAGAAAAGGGGGAGGGGTAAGGAAGGAAAAAGATAGAGAAGAGAGGAACCAGACTGAGGCCACAGCAAAGCATGGCTGGGGACAGCTAGTATAATATATACTGTATATACTCGAGTATAAGCCTAGTTTTTCAGTCCTTTTTTTATGCTGAAAAAGTCTCCCCCGGCTTATACTCGAGTCAATGTTATTTATTATTTTACTTTGTTGTTGTTACTATTATTACATTTATTATTACTTTATTATTATTGTTATTATTACATTTATTATCTTACTCAATTTATTATTGTTATTGTTACATTTATTATTTTACTGTATCGTTATTACATTTATTATTTTACTGTATCGTTATTACATTTATTATTTTACTCTATTATTACTGTTATTATTACATTCCATTATTTTACTCTATTTGTTATTATTGGAGGACATGTAAGCATATTTACATAGAAGAAGGTTAGAATAATGGTTTAATCAGAGTTGCACAGTCTTATCTTGAATGACGGTTTTATGTAAATATTCAAAAACATTTAACCTACTGATGCCTAAATTAATATAATATTATTGCTATCTATTTTTATTTTTACATTGATCCATAAATGCTGCATTTCCCACCTTTGGCTTATATTCGAGTCAATCCATTTTCTCATTTTTTGTGGTAAAATTAGGTGCCTCGGCTTATATTCGGATCGGCTTATACTCGAGTATATACGGTAATTATAATATGCCATGAATATACACTATAATATAATTATCTTATATTATGATATATTATTTATAATATTATAATGTAATACAGTATAATACTATTAATAATAATAATATAATTACATATTTTATATTATATGTAATATTACTAATAATATTACAATATAATTGTATAGTACAATATAGTGATGTATAGCGCTGATATTGTACTGTGCTAATGGTATAATGTATTGTATGTATGTGTATGTATATATCTATATCTATAGATTTACATTTATAGGCCGCCCTTCTCACCCTGAAGGGGACTCAGAGCGGCTTACTATATATACACACAATATATTATATTATAAGCATAGTATAATATCAGTATTAAAAAATACTATATTGTACTATACCATTATATTGTAATAAATAAATAAATAATAAAAAATATAATAAAATAATTATTATACACTAGCTTGGGGACCCGGCGCTGCCCGGGTTATTTGAGAAAGGAATTGTGTATCAAGGTTGGTCTTTATCAGTTATTTATATGTCTCACAGTGGTCTCAGGAAGTTAGTGAAGGTACTGCGAGTCCCATCATCTGTAGTCCATCCTCCTCCAAATTGCACCAAAATGGAGAGTGGGTTGTGAGGGCTCTGTGTGCCAAGTTCTTGATCAATCATTGGATGAGAACCACAGTGGTCTCAGAAAGTGAGTTTAAGTACTGCAAGTTCCATCCTCCATAGTCTGTTCTCCCCCAAACCTCACCAGAATGTTGAGTTGGCCAAGGGGGCTCTCTGTGCCAAGTTTGGTCTTTCTTGGTATTTGGATAAGTGTCGCTGTGGTTTCAGGAAGTGAGTGAAGGTACTGGAAGTCCCATCATCCATCATCCATCCTCCTCCAAACAGCATTGGGATGTAGAGTGGGTCATGGGGGCTCTGTGTGCCAAGTTTGGTCTTTCTTGGTATTTGGATAAGTGTCGCTGTGGTTTCAGGAAGTGAGTGAAGGTACTGGAAGTCCCATCATCCATCATCCATCCTCCTCCAAACAGTATTGGGATGTAGAGTGGGTCATGGGGGCTCTGTGTGCCAAGTTTGGTCTTGATCGGACATTAGATGAGGGTTGCAGCAGTCTTGGGAAGGGAGTGGAGGTACTTGAAGTCCCATAATCCATGGTCTGTCCTCCTCGAAAGTGCACCAGGATGCATGGGGACTCTGTGTGCCAAGTTTGGTCTTGATCAGTCATTGGCGAGGGTCTCAGTGGTCTCAGGAAGTGAGTGAAGTGACTGCAAGTTCCATCATCCATTGTCAAATTTTCTCCACCAGGGGCTCCTGTTGCAGCTGGCCAATCAGAGACCATATGCAAATAGCACCACAGTGGCAGCCAATCAGAAAGCTGGCACATACCCGGTCGCACTGCCGCATACAAACTTTGACTTTTATTATATACATAGATATATATAAACAAACTCATTCCTTCCCAGCACTCATGATGAGGAAGCCCAACTCCCCATTTCCTTCCTTGCATATTTTAGACTGTCGGCCTGAGGACATAGACTGCTTGGGCATGTTTGTCTGAGAGAAGTAGGTTATATGTCATTCCGGTGGATAGATATAAAATAACTTATATAGAGGGGCCGACCAAGGGCAAGATGGATGGATGGCATCCTTGAAGTGACTGGACTGACCTTGAAGGAGCTGGGGGTGGTGACGGCTGACAGGGAGCTCTGGCATGGGCTGGTCCATGAGGTCACAAAGAGTTGGAGACGACTGAACAACAACAACATATGTGCTTACAAAGGACGAATAGACCAAGGCAGAGATCCAAAGGCTCACCTGGGGAAGAAGATGCTTTCGACAACGTAGAAATCTTGCATGAGGACATCTCGCTCAGGCTTGGTGCTCAGGCTGCCCACCGTGTGGGTGATCCCCAACTGGATGGCACCTTTGAGGGCCGAAGAAGTGGTCTGGCATTGGGGAAAGAGAGGAAACATCACTGGTGGTTAATGTACGCATTGCAGGATTGCACAGAAACCCTTTCCTCTCTCCTCCAAGAAACACAACCTGTTGTTAATCCCAGTCACCTGCCAATTAAACCCTTGCACTTGGGGTTGTTTGGACAGGTTTTGGGGTGATCATTTTGTCCAAATGTTGGTGTATACAGAGGAAGAAAGAGCTGTATTTTGGGACAAACAGAAGCATCAAGCGACACACAAGTCTTCTAAAATGGAATGAATTAGCACACAGGGAGAGGATGTTTACCCAAAGGCACTTGGAGTTATTTAATATGCCCTGCCTAGTTTCCTTGTAAACCTGACTAAGAACAATAATATGGGGGATTTTTAATTTTATTTGTGCCAGCGATCTTAGGTTTTCCTTATAAAAAGCTTTCCTTTTAAAGAAGAAGAAAATGCAAGCTGAGGCCTGTTTTATTCAGGAATATTTAACTAAGGGGGCTAATGATAAATACAAGGCTTAAATGGAAAGTAATGCCTCCACCTTCGTTACTTGGGTTTGATTGGAATATTTTAATAAATCAAATGCAGAAATAATCCTTAGAATGTGCTCTTTAACTACCACTATTCACTTTTCCACATAATCACCAGACAATTGGATACATTTCTGCCAACGATGAACAAGTTTTCTGATGCCGTCACAGAAGAAGTCAACACTCTGTTTCCGCAACCAGCGTCAGCATCCTGGATACCCATCGTGCACAGATCTTCCGATAGCCAAGCAAATCAATAATGTGACCCACCATTCACTTTTCCACATAATCACCAGACAATCGGATACATTTCTGCCAACGATGAACAAGTTTTCTGAAGCCGTCACAGAAGAAGTCGACACTCTGTTTCCGCAACCAGCGTCAGCATCCTGGATACCCATCAAAAACTACTGGATGAATTGACACCAAATTTGGACACAAGGCACCTAACAACCCAATGTATGTCCTTCACTCAAAAAATTGATGTTGTCAGTTGGGAGTTGTAGTTGCTGGGATGTATGGTTCACCTACAATCAAAGAGCATGCTGAACCCCACCAACGATGGAATTGAACCAAACTTGGCACACAGTTCTCCCATGACCAACAGAAAATACTGGAAAGGTTTGGTGGGCAGTGTTCTTTGGTTTTGGAGTTGTAGTTCACCTACATCCAGAGATCACCGTGGATTCAAACAATGATGGATCTGGACCAAACTCTACACAAATACTCAATATACCCAAATGTGAACAATGGTGGAGTTTGAGGAAAATAGAATCTTGACATTTGGGAGTTGTAGTTGCTGGGATTTATAGTTCACCTACAATCACAGAGCATTCTGAACCCCACCAACGATAGAATTGGGCCAAACCTCCCACACAGAACCACCCTGTGGGCCACAGCAACGCGTGGCAGGGGACGGCTAGTATATAATATTACTATATTATACAAATTAAATGGAAGGGACAGTCAAAAAGTAACGAGAGAAGGAGGGAAAGAGGAAAGGAATGAAGGGGGAGAAGGAAGGAAGGAAGGAAGGAAGGAAGGAAGGAAGGAAGGAAGGAAGGAAGGAAGGAGGGAAAGAAGAAAGGAAAGAAAGAATGATAGAGAAGCAAGGAAGGAGAGAAGGAAATAAAAAAAGTGAAAGGAAAAAGAGAGGGAAGGAAGGAGAGAAGGAACTAAAGACAGGGAAAGAAGGAAGGAGAGAAGAAACTAAAGACAGGGAAGGAAGGAAGGAGAGAAGGAGAGAAGGAAGGAGGTAACCAAAGAGCAAAGAAAGGGGGATAGAAACAGGTAGAAATGGAGGAAAGAAGAAGAGATATAGGAAGGGAAAGAAATAGAGGAAAGGAAGGAAAGAGGGAAGGAAGGAAAGAAAGAAAGAGGGAAGGTTGGCCACAGCAACACGTGGCGGGTACGGCTAGTAATAATAATAACAGAATAAAATAATACATAAATTTGACTCGAGTATAAACCATGAGGGACTTATTAACCTAAAAAAAAGAGCTGAAAAATGCGGCTTATACTCGAGTATATTTGGTATGTCTTAAAACATATACAGACTTTCAGTAGATGCTCAAAGAACACAATGAAAGAGAAACGTGAAGAGATGCCAATAAACTCCCACGAGAAAAAAACGTGCGCCTGTCTGAGCACGGGTAAACCCCCTTTTGCGTTTCCGTTCCGCATTCCCATCCTCTCCTCCCCAACGTAAGGCACTGTGGGATTGCACAAAAAGGATCTCAAATAACTTGAATGTCCTGTGGGATTTTCCAACTCTAAAGGCTAAGTACCAGGCTCAGGCCTGTTGTTGCACTGAGGCATTGAATGTTTGACTTTTCTGTTTGTTGAGTTCCCTCAAAGAGATAGGGCAGAATAAAAATAAAGTTTTATTATTATTACTAGCCATCCCCTGTCACACATTACTATGGCCCAGTCTGTTTATATGTGCTTTGTGTGTGTCTATATGCGTATATGTTTGTGTTTATATGTGTGTTTACGTATATATATGTAGTTTTGCGCATGTGTTTGTAATGTAATTTTTGTTTTTTGCTTTTGAAGTCTCTTCCACTTTGTTTTTCAGTGTTTTTGTGAGTGATGGTCACTCGTTGACCTGATAGGTGTATTGTGTCCAAATTTGGTGTCAATTCATACAGTGGTTTTTGAGTTATGTTAATCCCACAAACGAAAATTACATTTTTATTTATATAGACTAGCTTTCCCCTGCCACGCGTTGCTGTGACCCACATGAGGGTTCCATGTGGGCGGTTTGGCCTAATTCTATCATTGGTGGGGTTCGGAATGCTCTGTGATTGTAGGTGAACTATAAATCCCAGCAACTACAACTCCCAAATGTCAAGATTATATTTTCCCCCAAACTCCACCAGTGTTCACATTTGGGCATATTAAGAGTCACCAATAGGCTGAGAAAGGTGGTATACAAATACAGTAAGTAAGTAAGTAAATAAGTAAGTAAACAGAGTATTAGTGTACAGTTTGGTCCAGATCCATCATTGTTTGAATCTACATTGATCTCTGGATGTAGGTGAACTACAAATCCAAAACCAAAGGACACTGCCCACAAAATCCTTTCAGTATTTTCTGTTGATCATGGGAACACTGTGTGCCAAATTTGCTTCAATTCCATAGCTGGTGGGGTTCAGAATGCTCTTTGATTGTAGGTGAACTATAAATCCCAGTAACTACAACTCCTAAATATCAAGGTCTATTTTCCCCAAACTCCATCTGTGTTCATATTTGGGCATTTGGAATATTCAAGGCTACCGATCTGCTACCGGGCTGAATTCAAAGTGCTGGCGTTGGCCTTTAAAGCCCTAAACGGTTCCGGCCCAAGCTACCTATCTGACCGCATCTCTGCCTATGAACCCACCAGGAGTTTGAGATCTTCCGGGGAGACCCTGCTCTCGATCCCGCCTGCTTCTCGGCTGGCGGGGACGAGAGATAGGGTCTTCTCGGTGGTGGCTCCTCGCCTGTGGAACGCCCTTCCTACGGACATTAGACTAGCACCATCTCTAATGGTATTCCGCAAAAAGGTGAAGACCTGGATGTTTGTGCAGGCGTTTGAGTAATTTAGTGCAATCTTGTAATGGAACATAGGAATGGAACAATGGACGACGAACCTGGACTACGCTTGGATGATGAGAAGATTGGGTACGGTTGTTTTTTGTAATAATTGTGCATTGTAATTGCTTATTGTTAATTTATGGATAATGTGTTAAGTCAATTGTTATATGTTGTATGGAACCACTGCTGTTTCTACTGTTTTTACTGTTTGTGAACCGCTGTGAGTCGCCTTTGGGCTTGAGATACAGCGGTATATAAGCAAAGTAAATAAATAAATAAATAAATATTTGGTCCAGATCCATCATTGTTTGAGTCCATAGTGCTCTCTGGATGTAGGTGAACTACAACTCCAAAACCAAAGGACACTGCCCACCAAACCCTTCCAGTATTTTCTGTTGGTCATGGGAGAACTGTGTACCAAGTTTGGTTCAATTCCATCATTGGTGGGGTTCAGAATGCTCTTTGATTGTAGGTGAACTATAAATCCCAGCAACTACAACTCCCAAATGACAAAAAAAAATTTTGAGTGAAGGACATACATTGGGTTGTTAGGTGTCTTGTGTCCAAATTTGGTGTCAATTCGTCCAGTGGTTTATGAGTTCTGTTAATCCCACAAACTAACATTACATTTTTATTTATATAGATGATGATTATTATTGTTGTTGTTGTTATTGTTATTATTATTATTTATAGTCTTATTATTATTATTATTATTATTATTATTATTATTATTATTATTATTATTAGTCTTGATGTCCAATGATGAACAATATAGGAGCTGTAGTCCATATGGATGGCCATATAAAATGACATGCCCAGATAGATTTGGCCCATGGACCGCTAACACATTTGCCCTAAATGGAGGGAGAGACATGGTTCCTACTTAACTTGGGGGACTGTGTTGATCCTTCACATGCTTTCGGAAACATGCATCTGAACATGAGGAAGAACTTCCTGACTGTGAGAGCCGTTCAGCAGTGGAACTCTCTGCCCCAGAGTGTGGTGGAGGCTTCTTCTTTGGAAGCTTTTAAACAAAGGCTGGATGGCCATCTGTCAGGGGTGATTTGAATGCAATATTCCTGCTTCTTGGCAGGGGGGGGGGGGTTGGACTGGATGGCCCATGAGGTCTCTTCCAACTCTAGGATTCTAGGATTCTATGATTCTATGAAAGGGAGGGACCCAAGGAAGACCAGGAAGCAGTACCGTCCTGGTGACACGCTTCAGTGCGGAGTCCAGACCTGTGGGCGCAAGGTATGCATGACATGCTGCCGCGGCAAGAATACCAAACGCCACAACAAGCCAACCCTTCAATGCCTCGGGGAAAGGAGGGGGACAGCAAACAACAGGCCAGAAGGAAACAAGAAAGACAACACAAGCCAACAAGTATTTTTCATCCAATTCTTATAGAGTTTTTTTGGCGCTGAATTATCGTATCTGTATTTATTTTTTCTCGATCACGTGTAGTTTTTGCGATGAGGCTAATCGAATAATGAATGCATTTATGCACTGATATCAATAGATATCTAATTTTATTTTTTCTCTATCACATGTAGTTTTTGCAATGAGGCTAATCGAATAATGAATGCATTTACGCACTGATATCAATAGATATCTAATTTTATTTTTTCTCAATCACGTTTAGTTTTTGCGATGAGACTAATTGAATAATGAATGCATTTACGCATTGATATCAATAGAATCTCATTTTATTTTTTCTCAATCACGTTTAGTTTTTGCGATGAGGCTAATCGAATAATGAATGCATTTACGCACTGATATCAATAGATATCTCATTTTATTTATTTTCCATCACATGTAGTTTTTGCAATGAGGCTAATCGAATAATGAATGCATTTACACACTGATATCAATAGAAACTAATTTTATTTTTTCTCCATCACGTGTAGTTTTTGCGATGAGGCTAATCGAATAATGAATGTATTTACACACTGATATCAATAGAATGTCATTTTATTTTTTCTCCATCACGTGTAGTTTTTGCGATGAGGCTAATCGAATAATGAATGCATTTACGCATTGATATCAATAGAATCTCATTTTATTTTTTCTCAATCACGTTTAGTTTTTCCGATGAGGCTAATCGAATAATGAATGCATTTACGCACTGATATCAATAGATATCTCATTTTATTTTTTTTCTATCATGTGTAGTTTTTCCGATGAGGCTAATCGAATAATGAATGCATTTATGCACTGATATCAATAGATATCTCATTTTATTTTTTCTCGATCACGTTTAGTTTTTCCGATGAGGCTAATCGAATAATGAATGCATTTACGCACTGATATCAATAAAATCTAATTGATATCAGTGCGTAAATGCATTCATTATTCAATCAGCCTCATCGCAAAAACTACACATGATCGAGAAAAAATAAACACCAATCTGAATTCAGAGCAAAAAACTCTATAACAACGATCCAAAATGATATCTGATGAAAAATACTTGTTGGCTTGTAGTTAATTATATTCTATGGATATCAGTGCGTAAATGCATTCATTATTCAATTAGCCTCATTGCAAGAACTACATGTGACAGAGAAAAAAATAAATGCAGATCTGAATTCAGTGCAAAAAACTCTATAACAATGATCTAAAATGATATCTGGTGAAAAATACTTGTTGGCTTGTATTACACGAATATGGTGTGAAATGTGCAGACTTTACAGTAGTCAAATGTAATGTACCATTAGTCATGTTTTAAGAAGTTGATGTGATGGGGAAAAAATTATTTAAAATCAGCAGAAAATTTGATTTAAACTGTGTTACTCTCATTTCTGATGATTACAAAAAGTTTGATTTTATTGGCTTGTGTTGTTCTCTTTCTCAAACAGCATTTCTGGCAAAGCTCCAAAACATCAGAAGTCAAGAAAACAACAACAAAAGGAGAAATACAACTACAGCGACAAGAAGAAATACCATATATATTAAAGTAAGTATAAGTTGACCTGAATATAAGCCAAGACACCTAATTTTACCGCAAAAAACTGGGAAAACGGATTAATTTGAGTATAAGCTGAGGGTGGGAGATGCTGCAGCTACTGTTCAATTTCAAAATAAAAAACAGATATCAATGCAATTACATTAATTGAGGCATTGGTAGGTTCAATATTTTTGAATATTTACATAAAACTGTAATTTAAGATAAGACTGCCCAATAATGGTTTAATCAATTATTCTAAGCTTCTTCAATGTAAATGTGCTTACGTATCCTTCAAATAATAATAAAGAGTAAAATAATAAATGTAATAATAGAGTAAAATGATAGATGTAATAATAATAATAAATAGGGTAGAATAATACATGTAATAATAATTATTATAACAAAGTAATGAACATGTAACAATAACAGTAATAATAGAGTAAAATAATAAATTTAATAATAACAATAATAGAGTAAAATAATAAATGTAATAATAGAGTAGAATGATAAATGTAATAATAATAATAATAAGGGTAAAATAATACATGTAATAATAATTATTATAACAGAGTAAAGTAATGAAAATGTGACAATAACAGTAATAATAGAGTAAAATAATACATGTAATAATAATAGCAATAAATAGAATAAAGTAATAAATGTAATAATAACAATAATAGAGTAAAACAGTGTAATATAGTAGAGTAGAATGAAATGTAATAATAATAATAAATAGGGTAAAATAATACATGTAATAACAACTATTATAACAAAGTAACGAAAATGTAACAATAACAGTAATAATAGAGTAAAATAATATTTGTAATAACAATGATAAATAGAATAAAATAAGAAATACAATAATAACAATAATAGAGTAAAATAATAAATGTAATAGTAATAGAGTAGAACGATAAATGTAATAATAATAATAATAATAAGGGTAAAATAGTAAATGTAATAATAATAGAGTAGAATAAATGTAATAATAATAATAATAATAAATAGGGTAAAATAATACATGTAATGATAATTATTATAACAGAGTAAAGTAATGAAAATGGAACAATAACAGTAATAATGGAGTAAAATAATATATGTAATAATAACAATAATAAATAGAATAAAATAATAAATCTAATAATTGTTATTATTAGATTTATTATTTTATTCTATTTATTATTTATTAATAATAACAATAATAGAGTAAAATAATATAATAATAGAGTAGAATGATAAATGTAATAATAATAATAATAGTGTACAATAATACATGTAGTAATTATTATTATAACTGAATAAAGTAATGAAAATGGAACAATAACAGTTATAATAGAGTAAAATAATAAATGTAATAATAATAAATAGAATAAAATAAGAAATGTAATAATAACCATAATAAAGAGAAAAAAATAATGTAGTAATAATAGAGTAAAATGATAAATGTTATAATAATAATAAATAGGGTAAAATAATAAATGTAATAATTATTATTATAACAGAGTAATGAAAATGTAACAATAACAGTAATAATAGAGTAAAATAATAAATGTAATAATAACAATAAATAGAATATTCCATAGATATATAAACCCATTTTCCTACTTCCAACAGACCTCACTACCTCTGAGGATGCTTGCCACAGATGCAGGCAAAACATCAGGAGAGAATGCCTCTAGAACATGGCCATATAGCCCGTAAAAGCCTACAACAACCCAGTGATTCCGGCCATGAAAGCCTTCGACAATACAATAAATAGAATAAAATAAGAAATGTAAGAATTACCATAATAAAGAGTAAAATAATAAATGTAGGAATAATAGAGTAAAATGATAAATGTTAAAATAATAACAAATAGGGTAAAATAATACATGTAATGATAATTATTATAACAGAGTAAAGTAAAATGATAAATGATGAATGGGATTGTGATGGTGTCGGACGATTTGACACTTTTAACTGTGATGATAATGTTTTAATGTGTATGATGCTGATATTTTAATCGTGTAATGAAGTGGCATTGTGTTGTTATTGTATATTTTTTGTATGTCAACACATGTTGTGAACCGGTCCGAATCCCTCTTTGAAGGTGAGAGGGTAGGTATATAAAACCTCGAAATAAATAAATGTTATAATAATACTAATACTAATAATAATAAATAGGGTAAAATAATATATGTAATAATAATGACAACAACAACAGAAGAGTAAAATAATAAATAACGCTGACTCAAATATAAACCGAGGGGGACTTTTTCTGCCTAAAAAAGGGCTGAAAAACTAGTTGTAAGTATGTACAGTACTTCTAAGCCTTATCGTCCAGCAAAAAACACATCAGAAGGACACAAGACAGATTGCTCTCTTTCTCAAACACAGCACTCCTGTCAAACCCCCAAAGCATCAGAAGTCAGGACAACAACAACAAAAGGAGAACTACAACTACAATGACAAGAAGAAATGCTCCTAAGCTGGCTCTTCCGGTGTAAAGAAGGCAAGGCCGCTTCTGCCTCGCAACTACCACCAGGAGGAAGGAATTCAAACTGCCCGGAACAACAACAACAACAGCGCTCCCCCTGCCCTCCCTAAAAGCCACTGTCTTCTTGTCACTCCACTTACATCAAGCGAGGGCCGTCGGAAAGAGCGGAGGGATCCCGAGTCCATTTCATCCGGGGGTGGGGAAAAGGGTTCAAAGCGAGCCAGGGCATCCCTGCTTGGCTCCAACCCAAGTTGGGTCCTGGGGGATTCCACACTTAGGAAAAAAAATGGAGGACCACAACAGTATTCTGCTAACCAAGCAACTCCCAAGAAGATCCACACTCAGCTAAGGAGTTTCATTCACAAATGGTCGAGTCTCTGGAGGCCGGAAGCGCAATCCCGGGACTTTATGACAGGCGCTGACAGGCGCTGGGAGGCCTTTGACTGCAGAGTCTGCTGTTTATCTCAATTGTTCTGGCCTTTTATACTCAACCGATGACTCAGACGCTTCAGAATGCGGGGCGGAATCTACCTTCAAGGGAGGAGGAGGAGAAGGTGGGGAATCCAGAGGAGCACATACCTTTTTGTAGGTCGTTTCGCCCGTAGAATCCACCCCTCGGTGCCCCTTCTTGATGGTCTGCGAGGAATATCCCGAGGAGCCCGGCACCTAGGAGAAAGATGAACATTAATTTTATTTATTTTTAGTGACAAAAACAAGTTAAGGGTACAGTTAAAATGCATTTAAACCACAAAGTTTTTAAAAAAAACCTGGTGGGGATGAGAGAACTATAAATCCCAGCAACTACAGCTTCCAAAATGTCACAGTCTATTTTCCCCAAACTCCACCAGCGTTCACATTTGGGCATATTGCGTATCCTTGTCAAGTTTGGTCCAGATCCATCATTCTTTGAGTCCACAATGCTCTCTGGATGCAGGTGAACTACAACTCCCAAACTCAAGATCAATGCCCACCAAACCCTTCCAATATTTGCTGTAGGTCATGGGAGTTCTGTACACCAAGTTTAGTTCAATTCCATCGTTGGTGGAATTAGGAGTGCTCATTGATTGTAGGTGAACTATAAATCCCAGCAACTACAACTCTCAAATGTCAAGGTCTATCGTCTCCTAATCTTCTCCAAATATTGAGTATTTGTGCCAAGTTTGGTTCAGATCTATCATCGTTTGAGTCCACTGTGCTCTCTGGGTATAGGTGAACTACAACTCCCAAACTCAAGGTTAATGCCCACCAAACTTGTAAAGTATTTTCTGTTGGTCATGGAAGTTGTTTGTGCCAAGTTTGGTTCAGTTCCATCATTGGTGGAGTTCAGAATGCTCTTTGATTGTAGGTAAACTATAAATCCCAGCAACTACAACTCCCAAATGTCAAGGTCTATTTTCCCCTAACTCCACAGTGTTCATATTTGGGCATATTGAGTATTCGTGTAGAGTTTGGTCCAGATCCATCATTGTTTGAGTCCACAGTGCTCTCTGGATGTAGGTGAACTACAACTCCAAAACCAAAGGACACTGCCCACCAAACCCTTCCAGTATTTTCTCTTGATCATGGGAGAACTGTGAGCCAAGTTTGGTTCAATTCCACCGTTGGTGGGGTTCAGAATGGTCCAGATCCATCACTGTTTGAGTCCACAGTGCTCTCTGGATGTAGGCGAACTACAGCTCCAAAATTCAAGGTCAATGCCCACCAAACTCTTCCAGTATTTTCTGTTGGTCGTGAGAGTTCTGTGCGCCAGGTTTGGCCCTATTCCATCGTTGGTGGGGTTCAGAATGCTCTTTGATTGCAGGTGAACTATACATCCCAGGAACTACAACTCCCAAATGACAAAATCAACTTCCCCCAACCCCACCAGTATTCAAATCCGGGCGTATAGGGTATTTGTGGCAAATATTGTCCAGTGAATGAAAATACATCCTGCATATCAGATATTTACGATTGACAGCAGTAGCAAAATGACAGTTATGAAGTAGGAAGGAAAATAATTCTATGGTTGGGGGGTCACAACAACATGTGGAATTGTATTAAGGGGTCGCAGCATGAGGAAGGTTGAGAACCACTGGTTCATAGGAGGAGATATGTTCGGACAGGTAAGCTGGGCCGGAATGGTTTAGAATCGTTTTAGAAGCATTCTCTCCTGACGTTTCGCCTGCATCTGTGGCAAGCATCCTCAGAGGTTGTGATTTCTCCAGTGGTGTGGGGCACAGACATCCTGTGATAATGCACCATGTCTCATTAAGAGCCACGTCCACTGTTTTGACATGGTTAGCAGCATACGATACTGTAAATCATCGCCTTCTCCTAAGAAGAATTTATAATATCACAAAGGACTACCACTTTACCCACTTTATAAGAAAACTGATACAAAACAGGAGCTTTTTTGTTGAGTTCCAGGGCTAGAGAAGAAGATGGTAAAAACAGAAGGACGGCCTGCCTCAGGGAAGCATGCTTGCTCCATCAATGTTCAACATCTACACAAATGACCAGCCACTGCCAGAAGGGACAGAGAGTTTCATCTATGCTGACGATCATGCCATCACCACCCAAGCAGGGAAGTTTGAAATGGTTGAACTGAAGCTTTCCAAAGCTTTAGGTGCTCTTACTGCCTATTATAGGGAAAGCCAGCTGATTTCTAATCCATCTTAAATGCAGACGTGTGCTTTTCATCTTAATAACAGACAAGCACCTCGAGTTCTGAAGATGACCTGGGAAGGAATCCCACTGGAGCAGTGTTTCTCAACCTTCCTAATGCCGCGACCCCTTAATACAGTTCCCCATGTTGTCGTGACCCCCAATGAGAAAATTATTTTCGTTGCTACATCATAATTTTGCTACTGTTATGAATCGTAATGTAAATATATGATATGCAGGATGTATTTTCATTTATTGGCCCAAATTTGGCACTAATACCCGATACACTCAAATCTGAATACTGGTTACCTTGGGGAGGAGATTGATTTTGTCATCTGGGAGTTGTAGTTGCTGGGATTTATATTTCACCTACAATCAAAGAGAATTCTGAACTTCACCAACAATGGTACTGAACCAAACTTGGCACAAAGAACTCTCATGACCAATATAAAATGCTGGAAGGGTTTGGTGGGCAGCGCCCTTTGGTTTTGGAGTTGTAGTTCACCTACATCCAGAGATCACTGTGGACTCAAACAATGATGGATCTGGACCAAACTCTACATGAATACTCCATATGCCCAAATGTGAACACTGGTGGAGTTTGGGGAAAATAGACCTTGATATTTGGGAGTTGTAGTTACTGGGATTTCTCGTTCACCTACAATCAAAGAGTATTCTGAACCCCACCAACAATGGAATTGAACCAAACTTGGCACACAGAACTCCCATGACCAACAGAAAATACTGGAAGGGTTTTGTGGGCAGTGTCCTTTGGTTTTAGAGTTGTACAAATACTTGGCACAAATATTCAATATGCCCAAATGTGAAAACTGGTGGGGTTTGGGGAAAATAGAATCTCGACATTTGGGAGTTGTAGTTGCTGGGATTTATAGTTCATCTACAATCACAGAGCATTCTGAACCCCACCAATGATGAAACTGGGCCAAACTTAGCACAAAGGACTCCCACGATCGACAGAAAACACTGCAAGGGTTTGGTGGGCATTGACCTTGCATTTTGGAGTTGTAGTTCACCTACATCCAGAGAGCACTGTGGAATCAAAAAATGATGGACCTGGACCAAACTTGGCACGAATACTCAATATGCCCACATGTGAACACTGGTGGAGTTTGGGGAAAACAGACCTTGACATTCAGAAGTTGTAGTTGCTGGGATTTATAGTTCAAGTACAATCAAAGAGCATTCTGAACTCCACCAGTAGTAGAATTGGCCCAAACTTCCCATATAGAACCACCATGACCAACAGAAAAGACTGTGTTTTCTGATGGTCTTTGGCGACCCCTTTGACACCCCCTTGTGACCCCCTCAGGGTTGAGAAACACTGCACTGGAGCATTGCAGCACACCAAAATATCTGGGAGTCACTCTGGACCATGCTCTGATAACATTAATTAATACACTGCCTTACCCTTGGGGAGGCACACAGCACAGGCATACAAAAAAATACAGATTTTTTTTGTAGTGGTTTGAGCACTGAAAGACCAAGGTTTGACTTCCCAATCATGGAAATTTACCAGAGAACTTGGGAAAACAAACTTGTTAATAGCTGGTTTCTGATTGCTGCTTCAGTCTGTCAGGAATTTCAACTGTCCAGGGTATATAACTTTATAGATAATGTTTCTGTTCCTTTCCACAGGTTGCGATAACTCCAAAGGAAGGAATTGTTGGCATAAAATAGTAATTAAAGATTCAGCTGTATGCTGATCTGTTTTCGGGAGCCTGATGAACTCGATTCCGACAATAGCCTCATGGCCGGTATTGTTCTGCTGAGCTCTTTCATTTGTGTTTTGCTAGAAATGCAGGAACTGCAATATTGTGTGTCCAGAAACAACAACCAGAAGTTATGGCTACATACAGGCCCTAATAATATCCGCTTAAACAACGAACAAGCTCTAACTAGATTTTGTGTTGGCCACATATTCATTTATTTATGGCATTTATATCCCGTCCTCCTCACCCCAAAAGGGACTCAAAGCAGCTTACAAGTTACATGCATATACAATATATTATATTATTAGAATAGCACAGTATTAGTATTATATATTTCTATATTGTACTATACCACTATAGTGTAATATTATTAGTAATATCACATGTAATATAAAATATATAATTAATTTATTGTACTATTATTAGTATTATATTGTATTACATTATAATGTTATTATCAATATTATATGTGTATATATTATATAATTAGCACAGAACAATATTAGCAATATATATAATTATTGTATTGTATTATTAGTATGATATTGTATTACATTATAATATTATTATCAATATTATATGTGTATACAATATATTATATTATTAGCACAGCTCAATATTAGTAATATGTATTACTATATTGTACTATACCACTATACTGTAATATAATATATTGAATAAACATATAATATTGATACTATTATAATGTAATACAATATAATACTACCACTAATAATATGATATTATAATTATATATTTTATATTAAATGTAATATTACAGTATAAGGTTATAGTACAATGTAATATATAATATTAATATTGTGCTATGGTAATAATATAATATATTGTATTTACTTTTTACTTGTAAGCCGCTATGAGTCCCCCTCAGTGTGAGAAAGGCGGCAAATAAATATCGTAAATAAATAAATAAAAATATATGATTATATTGTATTATTAGTATTATATTGTATTACATTATAATATTATCAATATTGTATGTGTATACAATATATTATATTATTAGCACAGCACAATATTAGTAATATATATTACTATATTGTACTATACCACTATACTGTAATATTATTAGTAATATTGCATGTAATATAATATAAATTATTATATTTTATTAGTAGTAGTATTATATTGTATTACTTTATAATATTATCAATATTGTATGTGTATACAATATATTATATTAGTAGCACAACACAATATTAGTATTACATATTACTATATTGTACTATACCACTATACTATATTATTAGTAATATTACATGTAATATTATATAATTATTATATTTTATTAATATTACATTACATTATAATATTATCAATATTGTATGTGTATAAAATATATTATATTATTAGCACAGCACAATAATAGTATTACATATTACTATACTGTACTATACCACTATACTATAATATTATTATAATATTATCATCAATATTGTATGTGTATACAATATATTACATTATTAGCACAGCACAATATTAGTAATATATATTACTATATTATACTATACCACTATACTGTAATATTAGTAATATTGCATGTAATATAATATAAATTATATTTTATTAGTATTAGTATTATATTGTATTACTTTATATTATATGTGTATTACTTTATATTATATGTGCTTTGGTTAGACCACATCTGGAATATTGTGTCCAATTCTGGGCACCACAATTCAAGAGAGATATTGACAAGCTGGAATGTGTCCAGAGGAGGGCGACTAAAATGATCAAGGGTCTGGAGAACAAGCCCTATGAGGCGCGGCTTAGGGAACTGGGCATGTTTAGCCTGAAGAAGAGAAGGCTGAGAGGAGATATGATAGCCATGTATAAATATGTGAGAGGAAGCCACAGGGAGGAGGGAGCAAGCTTGTTTTCTGCTTCCTTGGAGACTAGGACACGAACAATGGCTTCAAACTACAAGAGAGGAGATTCCATCTGAACATTAGGAAGAACTTCCTGACTGTGAGAGCCGTTCAGCAGTGGAACTCTCTGCCCCGGAGTGTGGTGGAGGCTCCTTCTTTGGAAGCTTTTAAGCAGAGGCTGGATGGCCATCTGTCAGGGGTGATTTGAATGCAATATTCCTGCTTCTTGGCAGAAGGTTGGACTGGATGGCCCATGAGGTCTCTTCCAACTCTTTGATTCTATGATTCTATGATTCTATAATATTATCAATATTGTATGTGTATACAATGTATTATATTATTAGTACAACACAATATTAGTATTATATATTACTATATTGTACTGTAACATTAGTAATATTACATGTAATATAAAATATCATTATTACATTGTATTATCATATTGTATTACATTATAATATTATTATCAATATATTATATTATTAGCAGCACAATATTAGTAACATATATTACTATATTGTACTGTAACATTAGTAATATTATGATGAGAAGATTGGGTACGGTTGTTTTTTGTAATAATTGTGCATTGTAACTGCTTATTGGTAATTTATGGATAATGTGTTAAGTCAATTGTTATATGTTGTATGGAACCACTGCTGTTTCTACTGTTTTTACTGTTTGTGAACCGCCGTGACTCGCCTTCGGGCTTGAGATACAGCGGTATATAAGCAAAGTAAATAAATAAATAAATAAATAATACTACATGTAATATAAAATATAATTATTATATTGTGTTGTTATTATTAATATTATATTGTATGACTTTACAATATTATTATCAACACTTTATGTTGATATCATAAAAGGATTCCACATATACATTAGATATTGCTCATGTGCACTTTGTCTGCATAAATCTGAGATTCTATAAAATAGGATGCCTGGAATAAACTTTATCTCGGCCAGTCCTGTGAGTAAGTTGGACTGAAAGTACTGCTGACTTGGTAGATCCTCAGGGCAAAGTTATTATTTGTTCTGTTTGTCTTCCTGCTCAGTTTCAGGGCTCATCCTCGCTTCCTTAAGATGTGTTTCACCCAGACAGCAAGAACAGAGTTGATTTTCTCTTCCTGCTTCTCATTATGCATCACTATAAGCATATCTGCTCATTAAGAAACCTGTCCTTTGAGCACGTTGGAGCATGGGCACAAGGAGAACCCTACGTTTTGGGGAATTCACGGCTGATGCAAGATTTGGGGGCGCCCAAACCCACAATGGACATTCTCTTACCTCAAGTGATTTCTTGAACGTCGCTGTTCCTGGTGCCCCTGCCATAAAGAAAAAAAGAGTGAGAAACAGTGAGCAAGGAGGGACGCACAACCTTTGGAATTAAATATACAAAACTTCAAGCTGGCTCATGTCAAAACTCTGCTTTGCAACTTTCCCGGATTGTGAATTTCACTCAAACCTTTGCTTCGTAACCTTCCCGGATGGTGAACAAAACTCACAGATCATGAGATGACACATGTTGGAATCTGTAGTTCTCCATTAAACTATTTATTTATTTATTTATTCATGACATTTATATGCCACCTTTCTCACCCCAAAGAGGACTCAGAGCAGCTTACAAGATATATACATATAATAGAATATATTATTAGCACAGTATCAGTATTATATATTATTATATTTATTTATTTATTTATTTATTTATTTATTTATTTATTTATTTATTTATACACTTGTATACCGCTAATATCTCAGCCTAAGTCGGCGACTCATTGCGGTTTACAACAATTAAAAACAATAATCAATTCAAAACATACAACAACAAATACAATACAAAATTATTGGGCCACCAATAATAATTCCATGCATCTCGAACTAAAAACACAATCCAAAAATTCGTCGTCCATAGCTACCTGTCCTTTGGTCAACACACTTCGGTTGCAACGGGTTAACCGAATGCTTGTCTAAACAACCATGTTTTCAATCTCTTCCGAAAGACCAACAGCGAAGAGGCTGATCGTACCTCTATAGGGAGGGTGTTCCAAAGCCGAGGGGCCACCACAGAGAAGGCCCTGTCTCTCGTTCCCGCCAGCCGCACTTCTGAGGCCGGAGGGACAGAGAGCAGGGACTCTCCAGAAGATCTTAGGGTCCTGGTGGGCTGATAGGCTGAGATACGTTCGGATAGATAAGTTGGGCCAGAACCGTTTAGGGCTTTAAAGGCCAATGCCTTTATATTGTACTATACCATTATATTGTAATATTATTAGTAATATTAGGGAGCCCCCGGTGGCGCAGTGGGTTAAACCCCTGAAGACCGATAGGTCGAAGGTTTGAATCTGGGGAGAGGCGGATGAGCTCCCTCTATCAGCTCCAGCTCCTCGTGCGGGGACATAAGGATGATAAAAACATCAAATCATCCAGGCGTCCCCTGGGCAACGTCCTTGCAGACGGCCAATTCTCTCATACCAGAAGCGACTTGCAGTTTCTCAAGTTGCTCCTGATACGATTTAAAAAAAAGTAATATATGTAATATAAATATATAATTATATCATATTATTATTATATTATAATATTATATTATATTATTATATTATAATTATTATATTTGCTCTGACACGACAAATAAATAAATATTATTATATTGCATTACATTATAATATTATAAATATTATATGTATATACAAGATATTATATTATATTATTAGCATAGCACAGGAAACAAGATGGAACTGTCCCCTTATTATTATTATTATTATTATTATTGATAGCATTTCTGACGTTTGTCTCACATCTATGGCAGGCATCCTCAGAGGTCTGTTGGAAACTAGGCAAGTGGAATTTATATATCTGTGGATTGGCCAGAGTGGGAGAAAGAACTCTTCGTCTTGAGGCAAATGTGATTGTTGCAATTGGCCATGTTGATTAGCATTGAATAGCCCGGATATGTTACCATCCTGTGGGAGGCTTCCCTCATATCCCTGAATGGGAAGCTGGAGCTGACTGATGGGAGCTCACCCTGTCTCGCGGTTCTCGTGGATTCGAACCACCAACCTTCAGGTGAGACAATTGGCCATCTGCAGAGATGTTGCCCAAGGGACGCCCGGATGTGTTACCATCCTGTGGGAAGCTTCTCTCATATCCCTGCATGGGAATGGGAAGCTGGAGCCGACAGATGGGAGCTCACCCTGTCTCACGGTTCTCGTGGATTCGAACCACCGACCTTCATGTGAGACAATTGGCCGTCTGCAGAGATGTTGCCCAAGGGACGCCTGGATGTGTTACCATCCTGTGGGAGGCTTCTCTCATATCCCTGCATGGGAATGGGAAGCTGGAGCTGACAGACCGGAGATCACCCCGTCTCGCAGTTCTCGTGGATTTGAACCACCAACCTTCAGGTGAGAGAACAGGCCGTCTGGAGAGATGTTGCCCAAGGGACGCCTGGATGTGTTACCATCCTGTGGGAGGCTTCTCTCATATCCCTGCATGGGAATGGGAAGCTGGAGCTGACAGACGGAAGCTCACCCCATCTTGCGGTTCTTGTGGATTCGAACCACCGACCTTCAGGTAAGAGAATTGGCCGTCAGCAGAGATGTTGCCCAAGTGATGCCAGGATGTGTTACCATCCTGTGGGAGGCTTCTCTCATATCCCTGCATGGGAATGGGAAGCTGGAGCCGACAGATGGGAGCTCACCCCGTCTCGCGGTTCTCGTGGATTCAAACCACCGACCTTCATGTGAGACAATTGGCCGTCTGCAGAGATGTTGCCCAAGGGACGCCTGGATGTGTTACCATCCTGTGGGAGGCTTCTCTCATATCCCTGCATGGAAATGGGAAGCTGTGAGAGGAAGCCACAGGGAGGAGGGAGCAAGCTTGTTTTCTGCTTCCTTGGAGACTAGGATGCGGAACAATGGCTTCAAACTACAAGAGAGGAGATTCCATCTGAACATGAGGAAGAATTTCCTGACTGTGAGAGCCGTTCAGCAATGGAACTCTCTGCCCCAGAGTGTGGTGGAGGCTCCTTCTTTGGAAGCTTTTAAACAGAGGCTGGATGGCCATCTGTCAGGGGTGCTTTGAATGCAATATTCCTGCTTCTTGGCAGGGGGTTGGACTGGATGGCTCATGAGGTCTCTTCCAACTCTTTGATTCTATGATTCTATGAATGGGAAGCTGGAGCTGACAGACGGGAGCTCACCCTGTCTCGCGGTTCTCGCGGATTCGAACCGCCGACCTTCAGGTCAGCAGTTCAGCCGGTACACGGGTTTAACCCATTGCGCCACCGCAGCTCCAATGTGTTGTCAACTTAAATACTTAAAAACCTCAGAATTATGAAACTATAAACACAGCAATGTTTTGTGGAAGGTGGAATGCAGAAGACGTTTTTGAGCGGTCTGTACAAGGTTCAAAATGTTTCGGTTTACTTAGGCAAGGTCTCCCTGACCTGGTTGCGTGTGCGTGATGTCAGTTTTGGATTTTAAAAGTTTCCTGAAACGTATTCAAGTGCAGTTTTTTTTTCCTGTGGTGTAGGAACCACTCCCTATTCTTTTTGTCTTATTTCTACGTCTGTGGCCAAAGTCTCTATTAAAGAGGAGATATTGAGGAAAGTACTAACTTTGTTCAATGAGGTGTACCTGTCCCACCTTTCTGAACACTTCTCTGTGTGCGCTTCCTTCCTTCATTGCAACCAATACAGGTTTTCTCAGTTCAGAGTGACTTAAGGGTGTGGATCTTACATAGCATAACATCTCCTTCTGGAGATACTTCTGAAAACACCTCGTGATAATTTCCAGGAACCTCTTTGCGTCATCTTTCCCAGGCCTAAAGTGAAAAGAGAGGGGGCCAGGGGACAGTTCCATCTTGTCTCCTGCACATGTCATCAGTTGGGGACCCCTCCACCCAGCACGAACTGCCACTCTGGGCCAGAGTGAAGAGAGAGGGGACCAGGGGACAGTTCCATTTTGTCTCCTGCATATGTCATCAGTTGGGGACACCTTCCCTCAACACCAACTGCCGCTCTGGGACAAAGTGAAGAGAGAGGGGGCCAGGGGACAGTTCCATCTTGTCTCCTGAGTATGGCATCAGCTGGGGAACTCTTCCCCCAGCACCAACTGCCGCTCCGGGACAGAGTGGAGAGAGATGGGGCCAGGGGATAGTTCCATCTTGTCTCCTGCATATGTCATCAGCTGGGGACCCCTTCTCTCAACATCAACCTCCGCTCTGGGACAAAGTGAAGAGAGAGGGGGTCCAGGAGACAGTTCCATCTTGTCTCCTGCATATGTCATCAGCTGGGGACACCTTCCCTCAACACCAACTGCCGTTCCGGGACAGAGTGGAGAGAGTGGGGGCCACGAGACAGTTCCATCTTGTCTCCTGCATATGTCATCAGCTGGGGACCCCTCCCCCCCTCCACCAACCGCCGCTCTGGGCCAGAGTCAAGAGAAAGGGGGCCAGGGGACAGTTCCATCATGTCTCCTGCATATGTCATCAGCTGGGGACCCCTCCCCTCAGCACCAACTGCCGTACTGGGCCAGAGTGAAGAGAGAGGGGGCCAGGGGACAGTTCCATCTTGTCTCCTGCATATGTCATCAGCTGGGGATCCTTTCCCCCAGCACCAACTGCCGCTCTGGGCCAGGGGACAGTTCCATCTTGTCTCCTGCATATGTCGTCAGCTGGGGACCCCTCCCCATAGCACCAACTACCACTCTGGGTCAGAGAGAAGAGAAAGGGGGCCAGGGGACAGTTCCATCTTATCTCCTGCATATGTCATCAGCTGGGGACCCCTCCCCACAGCACCAACTGCCACTCTGGGACAAAGTGAAGAGAGAGGGGGCTAGGGGACAGTTCCACCTTGTCTCCTATGCTATTCTAATAATATAATAAAATGTTATATAATACAATATATTGTATATACATATAATATTTATAATATTATAATGCAATGCAATATAATACTAATAATGTGATATTATAATTATACATTTATATTACATGCAATATTACTAATATTACAATATAATGGTATAGTACAATATAGTAATATATAATACTGACATTGTACTATGCTAATAATATAATGTATTGTATGTATATATATCTTGTAAGCTGCTCTGAGTCTCCTTCAGCAAGAATGGCGGCATATAAATGTAATGCAATATAATACTAATAATGTGATCTTATAATTATACATTTATATTACATGCAATATTACGAATAATATTACAATATAATGGTATAGTACAATATAGTAATATTTAATACTGATACTGTACTATGCTAATAATATTATTGTATGGTTATATATCTTGTAAGCCGCTCTGAGTCC